CAAGTTATTCTTACAAGTGGCGTCAAGCTGCCAGCGCAAACACAAATGAGCGTCTGAGTACTCTTTTCTGTGTTTCTTTCTGTGTTTTTGTTTTTGTTTGTGGCCAAGCGGATTAGCTGCGAGTCCGAGTCCGAGTCCGAGTCCGAGTCCGATTTGAGTTTTGCATCTGTGTGGCAACTGTAAAGAACGTTGCCATCATGGCCAATACAATGGACCATTCATTGAACTGCAGCTGAAACAAATTGCTGGCCACGAGGCGAAATTCAATTAGGCTTCCTGGGGCCGAAACACGCACAACAGCAGCAACAACAAAACAACAAAACGGCAACCAGCAGCACCTTCTAATGTTGCATAAAATGTTGCGGCTTCCTCAGTCTTCGACACAGCCTCATGTTGCACAACATGTGGCAGCAGCAGAGTGCAACAAAAGGCAACCCAAGGCATTATCATTTCAATTTAGCTCTAACTTGACTGCCTAACATTGCCTTGCTTGCCAAATGAGTTGCCAACTAGTTGGTTTCTGTTTAGTGGGAACTATTTTTATGAGTAGCTGTGCCACAAATATCTGTCTATGTATATCTAAGATGCTTCTAGTGGTCACAAGACCCAGCTTTGGCAATTGAGTTGCCCATTGTCACACCAAAGGCTTTTAAACTCTTTTTTTTTTTGTTTTTTTTTTTTTTTCGGTGGCACATCAATCATTGCCGATCAACTGTCAGTACGACACTCGAAAAAATGTGTTTTCCAAATGAAGCTTACCATAACAAGTTGTTTTTTTTTTTAATTACTAAATATAATTTTTTAGAACTCAATTATATTGTTTAAATGTAGCACAATAATTTCCAGAGCTAAAAGAGAATTGTAGCATTTAACAAATGGCATTGATATGTATATCAATCATTGATATTAATATAAATAAATAAGAGATTTTTGAGATTTTAAATTAATAGAAAATAATTTATTATTTGGTTTATTTTATTCCATTAATTTCACCTTTTTTATTTAAGTTCTCCTTTTTAATTTCCGTTTCCGTGTTTAAGAATTATATTCAATGGTTTCTTTGCAAATGGAATCGGAAATTGGAGCATATTGGAGCACGCCTTTATCTCTATATTCTATTGTGTCACATGTTTTTTGAGTGTAGTTGATGCGCACCCCAAAAAAAAAACAGATAAATTCTAATTGTTGTTGGATTGTTCAAAGTTGAATTGATGCACAGATTTTGTTGTTTCTTAATATTAATGCCGAACACTTTAGCAACTAATTTTCGCAATTGCGCACTTGGCACTCCGTGCCGAGAACATGTAATTACTTACGCGTTTTACGAGTTGGCTGCCAGCAAGCAGAGCGTTGCACACGCCAATGTTGCCGATGTTGCCGATGCAACAGCAGCAGCCAGTCGGCAATCTTCAAATGCCAGAGGTCCAGGCACTCAAGTCGAGCAGCTTTTACTCTGATTCTGCCAAAAGGCATCAGCGACCTTCAAACACTGCAAACAGCTACTGTCACTAAATTTTGAAGAATGCTGTCAGTTTGCTAACAACAACACAGAATCATGTTTATGCCATCATTTTAGTGTGCCAAGTTTGGGCCGATGTTTAAGTCAAGTGCTGTCTCATAGTGGAAATAATAACCAGTACTATTTAAAGTTAAAGATAAAGATATTAAATGCACATATTGACCATGCTGAGAATACATGTATAAGTTTTACTTGATTAAAGGCATTGCAATATGATTGAGCGAAAAATGTAATAATTATAATTTGGTTAACGCCCTAAAACCACTTTTAAATGAAGTACAATTGTAAAACAAATTGTATTGTTTGTTTACTTTTAACACAAAAATGGTTTAACTAGTTTCTTGACCAATCACAATGTTGCTTTGTCATTCTGGCACTGAGCACGTGTCTCTAAATATGGAATGCAAGTTTTTTATGCCATAAGAAGATCAAGTAAAATTAAAATTCCAACGCTCAAGACTTAAACAATGGGTGCAAAGATAACACTATAATTATTTTTACAAATTTGTTAGCTGGGAAACGAATGCTGAATCTCGACAAAGTCGAGTGGAGCACTAAAAGGGTATTTTGTAAGTCGCTCAATTTTTTATAATGGGTATCTTTGAGTCGGGTATCTTTTCCGCCAGAACGTTCTCACTAATAATAATGAAGCTGTCGCCTTCTATCTGTTGCGACTTGTACAAATGCCCTTGACTAATATGCTACAGGTCTACAAAATATGCCGCATAAGCTGCGCCTCCCTGCCCCAACCACAGAATCCCCTCTGATCGTAACTTGCTGCTGCTTGGAAATCATCGTAATCAAAATCTAAATTGAAGTGCGGCGCAATTTACATGGAAATGTCTTCTTAATTGATTTACAGCTTCGTCTCCGAGCCAAACCGAGCCGAGCTCTGAATGTGTGCGGGCACATTGCAGCCAACAAAATTATTGTAGTTTAATTTAAATTATACGTTCCACTCGTCAGCGTTCTAGGTTACAAAACAAACACACACACATATTACAGAGATTTCAAGGTAGCCCCTCTAGACTGAAACAAAGATTACAGTATTGGACTTGGCGGATCATCATCATCATCACCATCAGTATTTGTTTTTCTTTCCTTTTCGCTGGGCACGGTCAACGTATATTAGCCGATAAATGCTTTAAATGCTTTAAACAAACAAAAATATGCAGGAAATTAAATGAATTTTTGATTGCACAAACATGATGCGAAGATGATTATTTTTGTTTGTAGCTTAATTGTTTAGTCTTTAATATGTTTAAATATGAATTTTATTACTCGCTTATGCGTTATAGTTTTTGGCATGCTTGCGAGCAAAATGCGAGTTAATTTTTGTAATTATATAAAATTTGTTTATAGCTTTTTAGGCACATGTTGAGGCCATGATATTACTTGCAATTTCTTTAGGTCAGCTTCTAAGCATTTAATGGCCAGGCCTTGAGCTGTTCAATTGTTATTGGTTTCCTTCAAATAGATTCGACATGTTTAAGTTCTGCTAACATGGATAATTTGATTCACCTGCCCGAATTCCTCTCATTTCAATCAAACTTCCAATATTTATTGAGGTGCGCTACTTTTCGCCATATAATTATTAACTCGTTACCATTAAGACGGACCTTAACATTAAAATGTGAAAGTCGGTTTGACTCGTGCCGGGAAGGAAAAAATTCAACACAATATGCAACAATGAAAAAACCATTTTTCACATAATGTCAATAATGAGTTTTACGCATTCACACAATTTTGCATGAAATAATGAAATAATGGCAAAAGGCCCAGCAAAAAAACCAGAAAAGAAAAACGAAAACAATTTGCAACTTAACGGCATTTAAAGTATTTGTAGATCGTGATAAATGCTACGCCCACAACATTGAATAAATAAAGCAATAAAAATATAAAAATACAATGGTCTCGTCTCTCTCCGTTTGAATTTGTTACAATTTTTGAAGTGCTCGTTAAGTTTCTTTCTTTTTTCAATGTTTTATGCAATTTTAAATTGCTTGAAATTGGCTAAAATCATGACCTTCATATACATATATTTCCACACCTCCTCACATATAATGAGACCTTTTAAATATATCTTTCACTTTACGCATTAATTCTTATCAGCTGTGTCATGTAAAGCTAAAAATAAACCTGTGAAATTTTAATAATTAAACAAATATTGATGGCAGCTGTTGAAACTATTTGGGATAGTTTAGCGATTTTAAATAAATTTTGATTTGATATACCTATTTATCATAAATAAAAACTATATCTCAGACAACTTGCATATGGATCAACCATATTTCAACATACTACTACTACTAGTCTGCCCGGTTAGCTAGACAACATTCCTTCTAGCATTCCCAACACACTGCAATCTGTTCACATAACAAACATCAACATCTGATCAGATTTAGCACAGATCTCTCAGACTCATTAAATCTTCCAACTAGATTAAGGGCCTAAACAAAAGATTCCCACGCCCACAGCACACAAAGGCTAAACATAAAAAGAGTTAATTTCTTGTCAAATTGCAACAAGTGAGAATTTTTTTTTTAATATGTTTTGCCATTTTTAAATTATTTTTTTGTGTTGCGATTTGTAAATCGCGTGCGCAAGTTTGCGCCTTAAGTCTTTCGTTTCAGCTGCTGCTGCTGCTGCTGCGACGGCGACTGCCACACGACTGACTCGTAGCAATGAAGATGCGTGGTGGCGCTGGCAACCAAGTGGCAGGCAGTCAGCCAGGCAGTGAGGCATCGCAGTGAGGCACTCGCTCCACCAGCTGCATGACTAATCCCATTACGAATAAGTGTTTATTTTGTTTGTTTTTTTTGCGCTATTACATGACAACAACAGCATAGGGGCTTGGGCAAATGCATCCCAGGAGCGTATTACTCCCGCGCTGCTGCTGCCGCTTCTACTGCTGCTTCTGCTGCTCATTTAGTTGAATGTGCTCGACGCTCATCTTCGCAACGTTCACGTCGTCAAAAATGTTTGGCGCTTCAATTTAAAAGTAACTAGTTTACTATAACACTAAAAGCGTCGTCTTCGTCGTCTTTTTTTTGTACCTCTCTGCTCTGCTCACGAGCTTAGAGCGGCGGAGAGCATTCGATGCTGTAGCTTGCTGTTGTTGTTGTTGTTGCTGTTATTGTTGCTTTGCATTATTTTGTAATGTTTTTTTGTGTGTTGCTTTGCATTGCTACTTTACTTTGAAGCTAAGAGCGCTCTTCGAAACTTCCCAAAAAAAAAATTGAAAAAAAAAAACCAAAATACAGCTACGAAAATTTGGCGCGCTATTTTTTTGTTGCTGCTGCTGCTCGGAACGCCGACGTCAACTGCGACTGCGACAGCGAATGCACTGCTCATTTCAAATATAAATACTGGCCTACGAAATTGTTTCAGTATCACAATCAAGTCAACCATCTTCGCAAGAAGAACACCAATCTTAAATATTCATTTAACACAAAACCTCAGCTACTACCTAGTGCCGAGTTTGCAGTAAAAGTTTTCGTGTGTGTTTTTGTACTAAACCCAAGCAAGTGACTACTCAAAATGAAGGTATAGAATAAATATTCATAATCTAATCTCCGATATGCAAAGCATAAGTTGGACTGTCAAAAGTGCAAAGTGGTGTGATCGTCTCCTGTTAAAAAAATGATTTTGAACCAACAGCAACAAGTGTGCAAATCTCAATTATTGGGCACAATCATCAAAAAGGATGTGCTCAGATATTAGAAACTATATACATATATTTCATATATTTTAGGACCTGCAGACAGTTTTTTTGTCAGTTTTATTTTTAGCTCTGAGTATCTGCAATGTTTTTCAGATTTCTTGAATAACATATTCAATTCTCAGCATAACTCTTCCTATATCAAACATTTTTCCTCAACTTCGATTTCGCTTTCAAGATCAATTAATCAATAATTTAATTCAATTGTCTTGTGAACAACCTAAAAAAAATTTGGCAAATAACACAAGTCAAGTTCATAAATACAATTAATCAAAGAAATTCACAGCTAATACGCATAAAATTTGCACATTTTAATAAAGCGTTTTCAATATATACATAATAAATTTTTTTAATCACCTTTTTGCCATCAATTTTGTGGCAGCTTCTGTTTTCGAAACTAATTCCAAGATGGCAAATGCGCAAAATAAATTAAAGATACAACTAGTAGTAGCTGCTGAATGAATTTGTTGCCCATCTAAAGATACAAAATCCAAAAAACAGCATCAATTTGCTGTTATTTCTTCAGTGTTGCAATGCATATATTAAATGGCTTGTACTTTCAAACCATGCCCAAATATGGAGAAGAGATTAGCAAGGGACGATAAAAAAAACAAAACAATAAAAAAACAAACAAAAAACGATCAACGACAACACAAGCAACACAAAACACAAATGTTGCTTCTTCTTAACAGTATTTTAAAGGCACTGAAGCATGAAAGTCACTGAAGGTCTTGCACTCGCAACAAAATCGGCAATCAAATTGCACAATTAATGCAAAGAAGTCTTGTAAAGAAACAGATTCAAACTAAATATATATATCTATGTATGTAAACACTTCCAATCCTCAATGTCCCGCTAAGTAAAACGCAAATCTGTTGCTTAAGTCATTTAATCTGCCTGTCATAATGCTGTTAACTAGGCGTATACTTAACAATCAGATTTCTTATGACTTGTGCAAGTCACCTTTGAGAAGCGCCCCTTCACTTTGCAGCCGAAAACGGGCGACCCAATTTCCGTCAAATTTGCATATTACAAGCCTAAACGCTAAAGCACAAAAACAACAAAGCATAATTATTAACATTATTATAAACAATGAGCATAACTCATTTGTTTGCAAATAGAGTAACAGCATAGATAATTATGAATGCGATTTTAATGAGATTCTTTCCGTAATGCAAAAGACAAAAACATATCATAATTTTGGTCGCATGCGATCGAAAGAAGCATTAAGAATGATATTCAGTTAGACTCGGCATCTGCATGCTGCTGATCCTTATATGAGGCGGAATAAGGTTCAAGGAGCGGCTTGTAGGCCATCGGATGGATCTTGAAGCCATATAGCCTGAGAAAAGGTTCGAGTTAGAGGCTCGAGTTGAACATTTGGATTTGATTAGACCCACCTTGGCACAAACTTTTGCTTGGACCGTTTCGGCCTCACTTCCGGCTTAACCATCAAGAGCATGTGTGGAAAACCGGTGCCAAAAAAGGCGCCATCGATGGTTGAATGTCGTGTCGACTTCGGCACATAGACATCATTGCATTTGGGACAAAAGATGCGCACCTTATCCTCGCCAGGATTATCACTCAAGCCAACGGGCAACACTGGCTGTCGTTGACAATAGACACGCGGACAAATGCCAAAGACGCTCTTTTGATACTTCTCCAGCATCATATCAATGCCACGATTGGTCAATATAAACCGTGCGTGTATCAGGCCAAATAGCTTCTCTGCCGACTGCTCCAGCTCTGCCTCGGGTGGTGCATCTGAGCCTGAGCCAGTATCCAAGTCGAGGATCACTTCCAAAGCACGCCGATAGTTGGTGATATTCGAGTCGAGAAAACTCAAATTGAACTTATCCTGTATGTAATCCTCGTCAACCTCACAGAAAAACTCGTGACCACGCTGCTTGCAGTACCAGTGTATCCAGGCAGTCTGCTCCGAGTCCGTCATGGCTAACACAAAAATTTAACAACTTTTAAATACAAACACAATAAATCTAAACAACAATTGTAATTTGATAGCTTTGATTTAGCCTGCTCTGTGCTGAGCAAAGAGAATAACTCACATACTTAATTCAATTATTCATCCGTTTGCAGTGCTTTACAACGATTTCGCTGCTCGTCTGCCTGGCCGCATGGACGCAAGCGGAGCCACCAGTGAATCAATATCTGCCACCCAATCAATCCCCGCAGGCGCCCACCAACAACTATCTGCCACCCACCCAAAGCTACCAATCGCCGGCCAACAATTATTTGCCTCCTCAGCGTGGCGGCAATGGTGGTGGCTCTTCACCCAGCAACAGCTATGGTGCTCCAGTGCCCCAGAGCCAGTATGGCGCTCCTGCCTTGACTGGTGCGATCTTCAAGGGACAGAATGGCGGCGGCGGCGGCGGCGGCTACGGAGGCAATGGCAACAACGGCTACGGTCAGCGGGATGAGGAGCAATACGGCCCGGCGAAATACGAATTCAAATACGATGTGCAGGATTACGAGTCGGGCAATGATTTTGGACACATGGAGTCCCGCGATGGTGATTTGGCTGTTGGCCGCTACTACGTTCTGCTGCCCGATGGCCGCAAACAGATCGTCGAATACGAGGCCGATCAGAATGGCTATCGTCCAACGATTCGTTATGAGCAGGTTGGCAATGGCAATGGCAATGCCAATGGACGCAATGGCGGCACTGGTGGCTACGACAGCAATGCGCAGCAGCAGCAGGGCAAATTCAATGGTTATCAGTAAGGGCGGGCGCGTTGTAGTTATGCTGAAGGCGTTGCTACCTTCTAGTGTTTTCCAGTTTAAGTCGACCCTGTAACTATATTCTTGTCTACCTACACATTCATACATTCATACATATATCGTTGTTTTTAACATTTAACATTCGCTGAGCGAGCTGAGTATTAAAATGCATCTGCTGCTGCAACAGTTTGACATGCACTGGCTCTTTTCATGCGAATCTCCACCTGTCTCCGCTCTCCACTCTCTACTGTCACACTCCCAACTCCATTTAGTGAAACGCTGCCATTTTGCCATAGCCAGGCACGTTTCAAAAGTCCTTTACTGTTATTATCCTTTGCCTCTGCCTCTGGCTTTGCCTTTGCCTTTGCCTCATTTTCCAACACCTTTTTGCCGTTCGTTTTGTTAAGCGCCTTCATTTTGTGTCGGTCTACACACAGTTACAGACACACACACACATACACACACACACACGCCAATAAATACATACATACATTTTGTGACTATCACACGCATTCATACATAAACATCCATATACATAAGCATTGTATTTAATTTTAATATGAATTCTGAATGAAAAATGCATTGAAGCACAATCTTTGAATGGAAAATAATGTGTACGAAATGAAACAAATGAGATTTTTTGTGTATAAAATAATGATAATGAATAAAGAAGCATTTTTGTATAAAACAAAGTAAAAAAAAAAAAACAACAAACTGTTTATTTTGGGGGTCTTCCATTTTCTCGAAGAGAATATCAAATAATGCAATGAAGAACATAACAATTCCCTTTTAGTTATTTCTATTGCTGCTCTTGCATTGAAAAGAGCTCAGTTTCATTGGACTTGAGCTGCTTTGAGTTGTGCAGCAAAACGTTAAGCGACAATTTTATAATATTGTCAGCATTAACATAATTTTACGCGTCTTGATTTTATTTGCATAAATTAGCGACAGTTTAGCTATTAGTCTATGAGATGACAATGTGCGACCTTTGAGCGTCTGGAATGCGAGGACTGAGTGGAATGTGTGGGAATCAATGATCTCTTTTACTTTAGGTGTGCTCAGCAGTTGTCATCTCCATCATTATGTCTATTCATGAAGTTTATATACATTTACATATGCACACTGGATATGTATGTACAACGTACAGTGAAATTTCATATTTTCACACACTGTTCCAGCCACAACTAAATAGGCAAACATTTTTTATTTTTGCCTTGCCTATCAATCAAAAAACAATTATATTTTATTTATTTTTTTTACTTTTACCTTACACTTGTTGAGCACACTTGGTGTCACTTTTCAACAGCTCAGTTCAATAAAATAATTACACAATTTGAAAGACCTTTTAATTACAGACGTGACGTGCTTCACCGATCGAAAACATATTTTGATTGATTGTAGGAAATTAGACAAAATTATAAATAAAACTTAAAAAAATAAAAAAATGTACTAAGTAATTCAAAATGAAAAACGGCGAATATTTTATTGTAATGAACAAAGAAAGGTTTTTTCTGGCGCAAAAATCGAGAAGTTTTTAATTTAAATTGATGGTACAGTTGATATTGACAAAGTTTAAAAATGTTTTACTGGTTGTTTACTAGGATCAAAAAATGATCTTAGATAAGCAGTTACAAGTTCCAGATATAATTATATATTCACTTAAGCACCCGCTCCAGTTGTCCCAGACTATTATACTTATAGACTGGATCGTGCAGCTCACCCACAGGCGAGTATCTCAGCTGTGCCGTGAAACCATCGCCAGTCTTATCCTCCGTTGTTCGATAGAGAACTCGCTGCAGTTTATTATTGCTGGAGACTATGTAGTAACGTCCCTCCCTAAAATTTTGCTGTAAGTCCAATGATGCTGCAGATTCATCCTCTTCGGGATAGTTGATCCTAAAGTTAGGCGCTCCATATTCTGCCGCCGGAGTCGTCTGTTGCTCCCCAGTTGGGAGTTCTGTGGACTCAGGCTGTGCCACTGGCTGCTGATTGGAATTATCGAATTTGGGTGGCAAGTAATTGGGGTTGACTTGTGGCTCATTAAAGGTGCCAGCGTGCTCGACCCGTGCTCTGGTAATCTGCACGCTGGAGCCCACTGGATCCCCAAACTCGCCGGGCAGATTAAACGGAACCTGTGGACGCCAGCCAGCGGGAGCATATAGACTCACTGGAGTCTCGGCGTGGATGGCCACAGCGCAAGTGATCACAAATATAAACTAATAAAAAGAAATTAAAATATCAAAAAATTGTAGACTCTTTTCTAACAAAATCGCACCTTTAGTTGCATTTTGTTCAAAGTTGCATTTGCAACTGCAGTGGAAAATGTTTAAAGCCACGCACTTTTATATCAAATGATTAAACAATCTTCGGCAAATATTCAGTATGACAGGCACGTCTGACACACATCGGACACACATCTGTGTGGCATCTGGGATCCAATAGTCACGTAATCCGACAAAAAAAATAAAGCACAACTAATTTTGCGTGCTTACTAATATTTTGACCTTGCCAAATGGATGATCCAATAATTGGCAAGGGATCAAACATATTTTGGTATCACACACAGTATAGTTAGTGACATCAGTTGTCTAACTGTAAGTGTTCGATAATTGACATGAACTTTAAGACGCAATGAATAAAATCAAATAATCAAGTTCAAGAATAGGGGTAATTAATTAATAAGTGTTTCCCACATGTTTAAAAAAGCTGTGCAAAGCAAATCCATCAAATCGAATTAAATTTATTACGGAAGAACATTCTTTTCAAATTAAAGTACTTGAAATCTTTCACGTGTATCGGATCAGGGTCTTATAAAATCTATTTCTCACCACAGGTGGCAGCGACATGAGAACTGTTATCGCTTCGTTAAACTTAACTTGTTGACTTTAATTAATTATTATCAAACTTTTGAGTAATTTTTAATAGACTTTGATTAATGTTTATTGGGAAACGTAGCGAAATTAACACACATTAAATGTCTTGCATAAGTTAAATAAAGTCATTTAAGTGGGCAGAGCCATTTAAACGCGCGCCATAGCACTCAGTGCCAGGGTGACCAGCTCAAAAGGTTTTATGCAGCCCTGCGTGAGAAACATGAGTATTTTCATTGGTGAATACATTGCGCGGGCTTTTTAAAATATCAAATGGATTGAGGTATATAAAAATGCATGCGTCAAGTTAAATTAAATTAAACTTATGAAAAACGATCAATTTAACATTGTCGAATTGATTGTAAAACACCTTGTTTTACTTTATGAATTGTTAATTTTAAAAATGTTCGAAAATTTCGACAGTTTAATTGAAGTTCATATTAGCAACATTAACTTGAAGATATCGTCTTGAATTAATTTTTAAGTTATTTGTATATTTTTATTTATCTTGGTTTAATCGTTCAACAATCTGATTGCACTTTCAATGTATGTATTTATATATATGTATATTTATTTAAGACGGTTAACATCCTACATTCTGTGTGTGTGTGTGTGTGTTCCTTCTTATTGCGCTCCAGTCAAGCCCAGCTTCTTCTTCAGGGATTCGGGCATATCTGGTGGTGGTGGGCGTGGCATGTGCAGGAAGACCTTGACAGCATCATAGATGAACCATTGAGCAGCGGTGAGTGTGCCAATCATGACAATCCTAGGAACCAGACCGCCCCACAGACCTATTAAAAGTACGATTAGTTTTGCATATAAATATCGCACAGAGGATTGCTTGTTTACTCACCAGACCAGCCCAACTTCTTGGCCACATCCATAGCACTGGCGCCCTTGGCCTGGTTCAGTTTGGATACAACGGTATCAGCGGGATGGGAGACAATGGCACAGAAGACACCAGCAATGTAACCGGCGGCAAAGGTGACAATAAGCTGCTCGCCCTTGGTGCAATCAGCACGTGGCTTCGGCACCACATACTTGTACAGCAGCTCCAGAGTACGCTCAAAGCAGGCGAACTTCATCATGGTGTATGGGATCTGTCGCATCCACAGTGGCACCAGACCCTTGTAGAAGGCGGTGATGCCTTCCTGTGCGGTCATCTTGGGCAGCGCCTCACGCAAATTCTTTGCGAATCCGGGCGTCGTCTGTATTTTAACCTTGGCTGCCTCCATGGGCGACAGCGCAATATCCGCAAAGAACTCGGCCGATGCAGAAGCGGCCAAATAGAGGCTAGTTCTATAGAGGAACGCGTTCTCCTCACCGATGGCATTGCCGTACATAACTTTGAAGACCTCATAGAGACCAAACTTGCACAGACCCTGCATCGAGTAACCGATGAAGGTGGGCGCCCAGCCCTTGGCCAGACCACGAACACCCTCCTCCGCCAAGCTGACACGGAAGCCATTGAACACACTCTTATACTTGGCCGGATCGACCTGCAGACGGCATTTCACCAAATCCAGGGGCACCACCATGGTGTGGGTGGTGCCGCACGAGATAATGCCACCCAAGCCGCACAGCAAGAAATAATGATTTGAGCCAAACTCACAGGAGTCTAAGAAATCGAAAGACAATGATTAAAAGTTTTGAAATCCAGGTGGACTCCAATTCCAATTCCAATCCCAAAACTTACCACCCTGAGCAGCGGCAGCAGCTGCGAAATTGTGATTGGGGCTCAGCTGGGTGCGGGTGGAAACGGCATCATCGCTGCTGGGCAGGGGCAGAGTGGGCGGTGCAGCTGTCTGACAATCGGCACTGCTGAATGGCGACTTGAACGTTGAGTTCTGCGCGGCATCAATCAAAGATTTGAACATGTTGACTTAGTTCAGGATGCTGTCAATAGAATCGAATCCGAGGACAAGGTTGAGGTTAATGAGTCATGATGTAACCAAAAATTTAATATTTATACACACATATAACAAATTATAAGCGACATAAATATACACAAAAGCTTCTACTTTAAGTTTAATCACTTTAAGAAACACATAAAAATTCATTCAACTTTTAAACATTTTGAAAATTAATTTCAAATTTTTATTTGGCATTGATCTTGCACATAACACACTTTTTTTTACATAACTTTCGTATGTATTTATTTTCAAATTGTCGTCTTTTTTTAATAGCATTGTGCATTGCGTAATAGCTTTGTGTGGAGCACTTTTCAAAAATATTTCGAACACAATATTCAGCAATACTTATATTTTTGGATAGCGTTAAAGAGACTCACTTCAAAATGCAAGGAGAAATGAAGAAAATAAGCTAAAGAAGCTATAGATGAAGTATCAAGTTATCGTTGTTGGGTTTTAGGAAAATAGAACCCAAATATCAACGTTCGTCGTGCGCCAAACCAGAAAACCAAGTGCAACAATCCAAATTACAATACGAATGATGGGGTAACAATGTCGGCGTAGGGTTGTCATGCGTATTCAAAATTAAGCGGTTACAAGCGGTTATCAATTATTGGATTAACGGTTATGAATTGATCATTATGGCAAAAGGATTCATTTTTTTGGGAATTCGTGTTGAATGATTTTTAAGATATTATTCTATTCCTGTATTCACACGCCCTATTTTATACTATATTATTATACTATATAAAGTAATAAATAAACATAGTCATATGCAAAAAAAAAAGAATCTTCAAAATGTATTTGGGGAAAATGCTTTTCCCATTTTCAGATGACAACCCCACAGAAAGCTCTCTTTATTTATAAATACGCAACAGTTCAAAATTTCTCTCTAGTGCGAAATCCATTTTTTTTAAAGTTCTTTTAGTTTTTATAAAAATAAATTCATTAACGCGTCCGACAGCTGATCGAGCAGCAGACATTTGACAAAACTAATCAAGCAAGGCCAAGCACATTTTTAGCTGGTTTTCTTCTTTCTTTTTTTTTTGTAAAATTTAAACATTTTATTGGAAACATACAAGTTATGGTGTTTATTTACTAAAATCGTTAGTTTAGTAACTTTATGCGACTTAGAAAGCTATTACAAAATTGTAAACTCGCCTGCATCGAGGCGTATTTTGTTTGTTCTGTCACATTTTGATAATAAGTACAGTTTAGTTGGTTTAGTGTCTTAACATATACATGTGTATATATAATATATATATATATATATTTAAATATATATAAATGCTAAAAATATTGGAAGTAGTAGCTGCATAATAATACTTTTCTTTTGCAATAAATTACAGTTACAGTTACACAACAGTTACGCGTGTAGACTGGACAAAAAATGGCAGAGTTAAATAACGATAATACTTATAAACGATTTACAAATACATATTTTTAAATTGGCTGGCATTTTGTAGTGTGTGTTCGTTTGTGTAGGTGTGTGTAGGTTTTTGGCACTGCCCAAACTGTAGCAGTGCTGCTCAAACCGTACGGGGACAGTTTAACTGAACCCCATATACAAAAAACAAATCAAAAATTGGCAAACAAGCGGACGTCTTAATCGTTAATTGGGGGAAACTTAACAAACTAACTGGGACTACGATTCGGCTGTCTCCATATGCCGATGCACCGTGACCGGTGCCAGGATATAGTGGGAACGCTGCTCCTCGGCCGCATCCAGTGGCAGCGTTGTCTGTCCATAAACAACAGTCGACGCAGTTGCTCCACGACATGGCGATGGCGTCGCTTGTGACAGCTGCTGCTGCTGTTGCTTGTAGCGCTCCGTTTTAGAGACGGGCTGATTGCTTAAATATGGATGCGTCGCATTTGTGGACGATTGCTGGCGATTTGTGGGACTCGATATGGATGTGGATATGGACATGGTATCCGATTTACTGTGACGCTTATCGTGCAGCAGCAGCGGCTCGGCCAGCGTAAAGCACTGCTGATCGGAGCTATCCTCGTGCGGCGTCATCGTGCTGTAGCCATGATCCGATTCACCGTTCGGCGGTCGTCGATAGTAGCTGCTGCCGCTGGACATGTGATATGGTGAGATGTCAGCGGCATGCATCAGTTGACGCTGTGCCGCAGAATGATCATAGCCACCCATGGGCGGCTCATCATGCGTCTGGCAATCATCGAAATTGAAACGGGACAGCGGCAAACCATAATTCTCCTCCTGCACCGAATCCACATAGAACTGTTCCTGGACCTGTGTGTCCAGATTGTGCCGATAGCAATAAATGGCAAAGCCAATCACCATGGCGAGCACAACAATCGCACCACCAAGTGGCCCAAACGCGGAATACGCATGCTGCTCCCGCTGGGGATTATGCGCCGCCAGCATTTCCAGTTCATCGAGCTCACCATACGGCGTCAGCGAAGCGAGCACACCATTAAAGCAGCCCGCCTGGTTTGAGCAGAAGGCGGCACCAAAGCTATTGTCCTCCACATCCTGTTGACACCACTCGCAACCCATGATGCCCAGGCACTCCCGCTGCGTGGCATACACCTCACAGTTGCCAGCCACAGTTGCCGCTGCACAGCTGGGCAGGGCACTCAACAATTGGCTGGTCGGCGGCAATGCGAGGAAATGTTCGCTGGGCGGTGCACAATATGGAAATTGATGTGTATAATTTGCATATCCATCAGGATCTGCGTCACCGGAGCTGGTCAGCATTGGACACTCGCAGGGGCACTCGCAATCCGTTTGATCCATGCGCTTGCAATTGAGGCAGACGCGATCGATGGTGCTGCACGGACAGAAGGCGCCGCCATCACAGCTCGAGTTGAGCACCGCTGCAAATAGATTGCTGCCACGGATCAGGGCAATGGCATATTTGGTTCGCTCCCCGTGCACCACATTGCCCAGAATGGTCGAGAGCGATGTGTTGAAGGCATAGTAGCGTTGCAGTGTACGATTCTGATAGCTGGCACAGCCCAATTTGCGTACCAGCTGACCATGATTCAACATATCGTTGGCCAGATAGGATTCCTTGTGCGTCAGATGCTCGTGCGGACGACGCGGATTGCGTGTGGAACTCGACACCTGCAGCATGCTGGGATGTGCGAGTAAATAGCCCTCGTGGTCGAAGAGCAGACACTTCATGTGCGGCAGCTGGCAGAGCGGGGTGCTGTCCAGGATCAGGCGATAGTAGAAGGCATAGGGCACATCCAGTGCAACAACAGCCACCGGACGATCCTGTTGTGCGGAGTGCAACGCATCCGCCTTGCCTTCGAATATTGTGTGCGCTATGGTCACAATGTAGCCGGCTCCACCGGCATCCAGATACGGAGCCGTGCTCACAATGCGTCCGGGCTGTGCCATCGCCTGTCGGAACCATGTACGTCGAGTGGCATCGTAGTTACTGCTCAACAAACAGCCTGGATACAATTGCAGCACACCACTCACACTCGCTATGTAGCGTCTGATGATATGTCCACGCAGCGATCCCCCCGTGTCCTGATGGCGACGTCGCAGCTGCTGCATGGCCTTATTTAAGACGCCAACTTCATGGCGTATGCGCGGACCCAGGCCGGGATTAGCGAGCAGGCGGCTCGCATCGCGCAGATAAGCCATAATGGACTCCACATGACGCAGCTGCGTGCGCGGTCGATTATTGTGCAGAAATGCAAAGGGCGAATTAAAAGCGGCAGCACTCAGAAACAAAGTGGGCGCATCTGCAGAGAAAGATCAAGGAAATCAAGAAAATCCTAAGAGTTCCCCTCTTCAACTCACCCATTGTGGCCAGCTGTCTAAAGTAGCGGCATGTTGTTGGCATTCCACTCGCGCCATTCTGCTTCAAATCCAAACGATGGTATAACAAATCCATAGTGTCGCCATAGAAGCCCGAATCGAAGTTCACAACGGCATCCTTGCGATTGTAGCCACGCTGCAGCGGAGTTGTTGCATTGTGGGCAGCATTGTTGCTAATGCTGGCCGTGCTCACCAGACAGAGAACATAGATGCCCAGCACGGATTGCCAGTGGTAGGTGCGCAGCAGCTGCTGTTTACGTCCCAGATAGATGGTGGTGCTGGCATTTCCGCGCTCCTCATGCAGCAGACGCTTCCGAATGCTAACAAAATCGGTTGCATTCTCGAGATACGCAATATTCACGGGATATGCCGTCTCACGCTGGATGAGCGGTCGTGGGAAGGCCGGATGTGCCAAAGTGTTGCCACTGCTGCGATCCAATAGAAATGCATAGCTAAAACCCTGTTTGGCCGCCGGTGAAGCATTCGGATAGTTAAGCAGATCCTCCAACAGATCAGCTAAATACAAATTAACGCCAACGATACCGTAGGGAGCCACTGCGTGCGTTATGGCCACAAGGACATCTAAAAAATAAATACAAGAATTCTTTGAAGTTAATATGCATTAACGTTAATCTGAAACCGTTGACTTGCCACCACTTTCCGCATCCACAACGGGCTGATGCACCTCCAGGGTGTCGGTGAGGAAACGCTCTGCGAAGAGCTGGCCAAAGACACGACTGCTCGCCTGCGGTATCGTCTCCGAATGCATCTTGTTCAGCACAAAGAAGCGACCGGCCAATTGTATCTCCTCTCCAGGTGGCAGCCAGGTGCGCACATCAATATCGAACTTGGTATAGTTTTGGGTGGCCACATCGCTGAGGAACTGTTTCTCATACATGATGCGCTTCTCGTCGAGCACCACGGCACAGGTATTAATGATAACCGGCGAGAGCAGACGACTCTGTCCATGGGCCAAGACACGCAGCACGTGCATCGCATCCGAGAGATTTGTGAGCAGACCCCGAGTCACATAGACAAACTCAATGGGTTGCTCGGAGCTGTTTATTAGCCGCGACTGCTGCAGTCGATGCAGCATCTGAAAGGCATACTCAAAGCCCAACGTATGATTGGTCATGCCACGACCCAAACTCAAGTTATTCACATAGCTAAGTATCTCATCCTTGTGGGCACGCGTTGCAGTATAGATGCCATGTGCTGCGTCTGCGGGAAACGCATCCAGGAACATAAAGTCCGCCTCGCTGGATATGGTCACCAAGGATATATAATCGGTGTCCTCCAGCAAGAGTAGCACCTCTTGAACTGAGTGCATGAAAGGGAAAATTAAATGAGATTAATGAAATAATAAATATCACATAAAAACTTAGAAAGCGACTTTTTTATTTGGGATGCAGACTAAACACTTACCAAAGTTCTTTGTGATCTCAAAGAGTTCCGCATTCAGCGCAGATCCCACATCGATGAGCAGCAGCACAAACTTGTTTTTAATGGCTGACACGTAGAGCCGTCGAAAGTAAGCACTGCCTGGAGCAGCATCGCTGCTGGAGAGGAAATATATGTGCTTAAAATGACTTACATTGCTGCTGGCCTTGTTGCTGTTGTTAGGATTGGGATTGGGATTGTGATTGTGATTGCTATAGCTGGACTCGTCGCTGGGCGTAGTGCTTAGGCGCTGCCTCAGCAGCGTTAATTGATCGTCGATATAGCTATTGGCTTCCAGTGATCGCGCATTGTTCTCATTGAGGAATGTGGCACGTGAAGCCTCATCCGACTTGAGATAGTTTAGGATCTGTATCTGCTGCTTATTGTAGTGGGCAGAAGCCACGGCTACTGCATCCACATTGCCATCATAGTCCGGCTGGCAGTTCTCGATTTGTGTGTTCAAATAGAAATGCATGTGCTCGCTGTTTGTGGCGGGATTGCTGCCCTCCGCATCATCCATTTCAAAGTCAAATTCACTCTCCACCTCTTCGTCAGCATCTTCATCGGAGCTGTGCTGCTGCAGGAGCACCTTGCTCACATTAAAACGCAACAGATCGCGCAATTGCAGGACAACATGCGTGGCTCTTTGCAGTTTTCGTCCCAGACGCTGGCTAAATGCTTGCAGATCCTGCTGCACGCTCTCGTTTCCATTGCCCCCCGACGACGACAGTCGCGTGGTCACCGAGCTGGCAAAATGTATCGAGTCGAAGATTTCCTGCAACAAACGATTAAGGTTTAACATGGGTACATTTTTTTTGGAGATGCCATTTAATTCACCTGGATTTTTGTGACAAGCATTTCCACATTGCGTATGCTGTGCAATTTATTTTCCACATTGTGCCTCAGCTGCACAACATTTTGCTGATTGTAGTTGATGAAGAAAACACTCGCAGGCGTCTGCTGCAGCGACATATAGCCGGCAGATGTAGGCACTTTGTTAATGTTGCTAGTTTGGGTTTCATTTGTTGTGTTTGTGTTTGTGTTTTTGCTTATGATTTGAGGTAGTGGAGGAACATGTTCACTGTTTGGCAATGTGTGCGCAGCTGCCGCCAGGAGGAGCAGGAGCAACGTGATGCCGTCATGCCACATCTTGTTGCTTTCCTGGTAGCCTGAATTGGTAACGATTACAGCGTCATTTAGTTACAAATGTTTATTGCTTTAGTTTTTTATGCTGCTGCTGCTTGTGTTGCCCGATAAATTGTCAAAGTCGTTCGATAGATCGCAACGAAAACGTTGAATAAATGTTATCGAAAGACATTTGATGAACAATCAATCGATTGGACACAGTATTTATTATGGTTATCAGGTGCTTTCAATGAACCTCCATTCTTGCAACCAGTTAAATATGTTAGTTAGATTGAAAAATTGTAAAAATAACTCAAGCCTAAAAATTTTAATTATAATATTAATACTGATTTGTAGAAAGCAAAACCTCTACATTAACCTAAAAAGTCTTCACGATTTGGTATTTTATTTACTTGGTATTTATTATTGACGGAATACCCATACGAAATTTGAGGAAAAAACATCGATATTCTTGTAGTCTGATTCATAATAAAAGAAAAAGGTGCATAAAACAATCATTGAAAATACACACAGAGCATTAAGACTTGCAAACAAACGATGGCCGCCACATTAAAACCGTATTTGACTGCCGTGCGGCATTCGTTGACAGCAGCAATGTGTCTGCAGGACTTTCCGTCGCAAGTTGTCGAACGCCACAACAAGCCGGAGGTGGAAATTTGCTCAAGCAAGGAACTGGTGCTCACGCCCATTGTCGTCTCCCGCAACGAGAGGGAGAAGGTGCTGATTGAGCCGTCCATTAATTCGGTGCGTGTTAGTATCGCTGTAAAACAGGCCGATGAAATTGAGCGCATCTTGTGCCACAAGTTCACACGCTTCATGATGCGTCGCGCCGAATCCTTCATTATATTGCGACGCAAACCAATCGAGGGATACGACATTAGCTTCCTAATCACGAACTTTCACACGGAGCAGATGTACAAGCACAAGCTGGTCGACTTTGTCATCAGTTTCATGGAGGAGATCGACAAGGAAATTAGCGAAATGAAACTGGCGGTCAATGCACGAGCTCGCACCTGTGCCGAGGAATTCCTGAAGCGGTTTTAGTTGCTACTACATTGTTGAAATATTGCTTCAATCCATAAATAAATGTGTGTTTTCTATAACAATCAGTTTTTTGTGTGCTTTGATTCCAGCAGTTTTGAAAATTCGTTACAAGAGTCATTGTTTTAATATGTTAAATAATAATTGCAAGATATGTGTGTGTTTATAATAGCACTTTGGTAAAGATTTATGATAAGAGTTATTATTCGAATATGGTTAATAATAGCAGCAAGATATGTATGTATAATCGACCTTTGGAGCCGTGAAAAATCATTAATTTTGATTATATGCTATTTATCATACATCAATTTGAATTATTAACCATCTAGGAAATTTCATTGAACACACAAATATAAATTTATCGTTAGCTTAACATATATATAAACAATATCCATCCCTTAGATAGAATTCTATACAGAATTATTACAAATTTAATTGTACAAAATATAATTTATATATAGCATTAGGAATACGGCACTGATATCCTAGAGTCGCTAAACAATTTATTTAATTGAACCCATTCACTTATTTTATAACTTTACTTTACCTTTTGTTAATTATATTATTAATTATAATTATGGGCAAATAATAGGGTATAAATATGCACATGTGCGGAAGTTTAAGTTTTCGCGCTTGATCACTTCAGCCAGAATCTGCGTATAGAATTGTGCAACACTGGTGCATAACAGCCCTGTCACGCCGAATGACAACAAACGCAACACGCGGATCAAACAGCGGCAAATCCGAATTAAATTAAATTGATATGAAAATGGCAAACGCAAAAGTGAAGAGCACAACAAATGGCAAGCAAAAGAAACCAAGCAACATGTCTGACGCAAAGGCGCTAAAGGCCAAAGCCTGGCAGAAGGTGAAACTGAAAGGCCACGTGATTTCCGATGATTTTAGCAGTTACGAGGGCCTTATTGGATTGGAAGTGCTGAAGGATTACGATTCGGCACTGGTGAAATCCACACAGAAACAGATTGCTCCGGCTAGCTACGAACGCAGCAAAAGGCGTAAGCCAGGAAAAGCAGAAAAGGATTCACAGGCATCGTCTAGCGATGAGGAAGAGAGCGATGATGAGTCTGAGGATGGAGATGCATCAGCCAAATCCTCGAAGAAAGCTCGCCTTGCCGAACGTCGCACTCAGCGGATATTGAAACAGCAGGAGAAACGCGAAAAACGCAAGCAGCAACGTAAGGAAAAGAAGGTGGAATCTAAAATAGAGACTAAATCTATGAAGCAATCCAAATACACACCCAACGAAGATTATGCTCCCGATAGATTTGCGCTGCTGCGACCACCGCCTCCAGAAGATGATGTTGCTGAGCCAGAGAACGGACCCAGCTCTGAAGATGACGACGACGATGAGGAGGTGCCCGAACTGGTGTCCTGCAGCGCAAAGGTGGATATGAGCAAATGGCAGGGTATGGGTATTCCCACGTCCATAATGCGTGCACTGGCCGAACAGGGCTACGAGGCGCCAACCCAGATCCAGGCGATGACTCTGCCAGCGGCCATACATGGCAAAAAGGATATACTGGGTGCTGCCGAAACGGGTAGCGGGAAAACTCTCGCCTTTGGCATACCCATCCTCTCCGGCATCATGGAGCTGAAGCAGCGCAATGACGGATCCGGTATACGTACACGAGCACCAAAGCACAAAGTTGAGGCTACCGTGGAGGCGGAGGTGCCTACAAGCAAAGAGAATCACGAGTTGACGCCACCGCCAGAGGAACTGGATTATGTGTCGGGCGCCAGTGAGGAGGAGAGCGATGCCGAAGACTACAGCAGTTCGGGACGTCGTCCTCTGTATGCTCTGGTGCTCACACCCACACGAGAATTGGCTGTCCAGGTGAAGAATCATCTCGTTGCCGCTGCCAAATATACGGGTATTCGTGTGGCAGCCATTTTCGGTGGCCTCTCCGTTGCCAAGCAGGAACGCGTTCTGCGCCAGTGTCCCGAAATTGTTGTGGCGACACCAGGTCGCCTCTGGGAACTATATGCGCAGGGCAATAAGCACCTGAACAAAATAGAACATGTAAATTTCCTGTGCATTGACGAAACGGATCGCATGGTGGAGAAGGGACACTTCGAGGAGCTGCGCATGCTGCTCAAGGTTCTCAATGCCCATGAGGAGCGCAAACAGCTGCGCCAGAATTTTGTCTTCTCAGCCACATTGACGCTGATCCACGATCTACCCGAGCATATGCAAAGTAAGAACATAGATTAATGGCTGGAATTGGGATAAGATTTCAATCCTGATCCTTAGTTTGGATTGGGTTGGTGTATTTCGTATCCAATTACAAATAATGCGCTGGCATTCCACATAATTACTTTCATTATTGTAGAACGCAATCTGGCAAAGCGTCCCAAGTTCACCAAGCAGACTGTGGATCAAAAGATTGAGAGTCTTATCGAGGAGCTGGGCATCTCGCAGCCAAAGATTGTGGACATTACCAGCAGTCAACGTAAGCAACCACTACCTCGAAGGAGCGCCCACACATTAATTATGCTTCAATCTTTCAGAGACTGCCCAAACTCTGACCGAGAGTCGTCTGTTGTGTGCGATTGATGAGAAGGATTACTATCTGTACTATTTTGTGCAGCGCCATCCTGGTCGCAGCATTGTCTTCTGCAATTCGATTGACTGCGTCAAGCGGCTGGCCACGCTCTTTGGTCTGCTGGAGTGCAATCCGTTGCCGCTGCACGCCAACATGATACAGAAGCAGCGACTGAAGAATCTGGAACGTTTCCGAGATAGTTCGACGGGATTGCTAATTGCCACCGATGTGGCTGCCCGTGGCCTGGATATACCCAATGTGGAGCATGTCATTCACTACCAGGTGCCACGCACCAGTGAGAATTATGTGCATCGCTCCGGACGCACTGCACGTGCCAATAAACATGGCATAACGGTCATGTTTATGGAACCAGGCGAGGTCAAAAGTTATGTGCGCCTGCACAAGACGCTGGAGAGAAGTGGGTGACTTCAAATAGAACCATAAACTTCAATTGTTTCAATTTAATCCGGTTGCTTACAGCTGAGGATCTGCCGCTCTTTCCCATCTCGGAGCGTTTTCTAGGTGCTGTACGAGAGCGCGTCAATCTCGCCCGTGAGCTGGACAAGGAGGAATTGAAGCTGCGACGCACACAAAGCGAGGAGGGTTGGATGAAGAAGCATGCCGAGGAAATGGACATGATTATCGATGGCTACAACGATGATTCGTGAGTAATGAAATTCTCTTAGTGGCTCCCACTCTAATCTACCTTTTCCTTGCAGCGGCAGCGATCAGGATGAGGATCCGTTTATCATTGAGCGCCGGCGAAATCGCCTGCATGTGGATCAGGTGCGCGGACAACTGGCTGCACTGCTCGCCCAGCCCATATTCCCCAAAGGTTTCAGCTTTAAATATCCTACGAGCACGGGTCAACTACTCTTAGGCTCCGATATGGGCACCAGTAATCCGCAGAGTGCTGTGGAAACCATGAAGGCCGCCATCGAGGACATGAAGCTGGCCAAGAAGCAGCGCAACAAACGCAAACGCAATGCCTGAATAAATATATTGATATATTTACTTACCATAACTATACTATTATATATTATTATTATTATTGTGATACTCTCAGTGCTTGGATACAAAATAACGTGTTCCACTTTCTGTAAGAGATCGTGCGTGCTTGGCCAGCAATTGGGATACAGACAGTGTGGGCGTGGTAAAGCAGCTGCAGCAAGGAATGAATAACTATTAGCAAAGATCAATGAAAATCTTGGCAGGATTGCACTTACTCTATATACGGCTCCATTTCGTCCAGTGTCCACTTTCTCTTTGTTTTGAACAAGGCACGCATGCGATCGTTGATGTTCGGAGGCAGTTGCTCCTCCGCCAGGGATCGGATGCAAGGCTGTGCGCCTTCCTTATCTAGGATGCCCAAGCCATGCAGATATTCCAGCTTACAGCTCATGCCCTCGGGCAGCGCCTCCTGCCAGGTGCTCATGAACTCTTCGCTGCGAAAGCGCAAGCCAGGCTGCAAAATATTCTGTGCCACAATGCGTGCCACCAACGACTCCTCGTAACGGAATTTGCTGGGGCAGCGATCACTTTGCTTCGCATAGATATCAAAAAGTCCCGAGACAATGGGTTCGGGTGCAATGCCTTGCATGGCATAGATTGTCTCGCCGCGATCCACCTCATCCAGGGCCCAGGAGTTTTCCGCAATCAGCCCGAGCATCAGGTTAATAATGCGATATTCATACTCATAGTCCAGTATACGGATGTGGCTATCGAACTCCAAGGCGCGACATTGATGGAGTCCCTCGATAAACTGTGCCCGGCTGCACTGAATCGTGTCCAGCAGCTGCTGGAAACTAAACATCAGCTTGCGCTCAACGCAATACTCGTTCTCTGGCCCCGAATACCGGGTGAGTTGCAGCAGTTCGCCCAGCTTGCGATAACGTGGACGGATCTCGCGGCATTCATAGTAATCGTGGAATATAGTCAACACCTGCCTCTGCTCCAGCGTGCGCGGCACCTCCAAATCATCATCGGCGCTGTCGTTCAGACTGCGCTCAAGCGACGTATTCGCATTCCCAGTGCGCGGACTCCTCAAAGGTGACGTGCTGGTTGCTGCACCAAACTTCAAATCGGGCACCAATAATAAACTGTTGGAGATTTCGGCACCCTTCACATCGTATGTGCACTCGTCCGTGCAGAGCACAACCTTCTCGTGCAAGCCACCCTTGAAATGGAGCGTCTGTCCGGTGCGTATCTGCTGCAGCATATGCTCGTCCAGTTCCAACAGGCGTAAATTATCGCTGACCACATCGGCGCTCGGATAATACAAAGCCTGCGTGAGTTGTGTCAACTGACGTTCGTCCATTTTGGCATGCCTGACAATGGCCTTAACATCTTCTGCTGTTCGCACATAGCTGCAAAATAAACCCGTCACTCAGTGTAAATTATAATTATTAAAAATAAAACTTACTGGTGCGGCTCATTATTTTCATCAACTTCCATGTTTTCCAAGTTTATCTCAGGTGCTGCGCGCCAAAAATTAACCGAATTTAGTGACTTTGGCGTTGCCAGACTGTTGAATGCTGTCACAACAGCGTTAGCTATTTGATTATTATTATTGTTTGGTTATTTACATATTATTAATAATAATTTGCTATACAAATTAGTGATTACAAAATCTCACTACTTTAAATAGCTTATTTTTTGTTTATTTAGATTATTATTGGCAATCGCATTAAACTATTAATTTCAGCGTTGCCACCTAACTCAATTCCGCAATTTAACACTTACTTTTGTCATGCGTCACGATACCTGCCTTAAGTAACAGGTATCTTTCACAGCATGTGCAATTCCTCGCACAAATGGAGAACCTGGCGACAAAGAAAAACTGGACAGAAGAGGAACGTTTAGAGCTGGCAGCTCAATTAGATGCACAGCTTGATGAGTTCATTGATGGCCTGGAGAAGAAACGCTATGAGGAGGGATGGCCAGAGGATCGCTGGCAGGAGGAAATGGACAAACATCCGTTCTTCATGAAGAAAGCACCACAGCCAGGTGACGAAGTGCATCCCATGTTTGAAGGCTTGCAAAAGCTCAAATACGATCCGGAGGAGAATACACTGGATGAGCTGGCGCTCAACTACAAGGAGGATGGCAACTTTTACATGAAACACAAGAAATTCCGCATGGCCGTCTATTCATTTACGGAGGGCATTAAAACCAAGTGCGAAAATCCCGATGTGCTCGCCGTGCTCTACAACAATCGTTCAGCTGCCCATTTCTTCATTAAGAATCATCGTTCCGCGTTGAGTGATGCACAGCGCGCCTTGTTTTACAAGCCGGATTATAACAAGGCTCGCTGGCGAGCTGCTCAATGTGCCTACGAGCTGGACAAGTTTGATGTGTGCAGCCAGATGTGCGAGGAGCTGCTCGAGGTGGACATCGATCATAAGGATGCCAAGGCGCTGCTGCACAAGAACAAAATGAAAAAGGTAAGTCTCTAAAATGATCACATTTCAAATATAATATTCCTGATGATCTTTTACAGATGGACACGGAACGCAATCAACGCAAGGAGGCTGCCGAATCCAAGCGTCGACTTGCGCGCTTCCACAAGCTGCGCGATGCTCTGACGCAGCGTGCCATTAAATTCGATGATCAACCCATCAATAAGCGAACAAATATAACCGATGAACTGTTGCGCCCCAAGTTTTTGCCCCTGGAAGACTATCCCGTGCATTTGGATGAAGATGAGAGTACTTTAATTTGGCCCACTGCCTTCTCCTATCCGGAATTTCTGCTCACCGATTTTCAGCAACAATTGCCGGAGACGGCAACGATGATGGATTGCCTGATTACGCTCTTTGAAGAGCCGCTTCCCGCTGATAAGATGTCAAGCTATCGTCCGGATAAGGTTAATGTCTACTATGAGAATCGCAAGGCGGGCTGCGCTCACAAGGTAAACCCCAAAAGCACGCTGCGGGAGATTATCAACGAGAAGGGTTTTTTTGTGTCCGGCGGCGCTTTGCTCTTCTATGTGGTGCCAAAGGGCACGCGAGTGGAGCAGGAGTTCATAAATCAACAGAGACGTCCCCAAGTCTACAGTTGAGTTTGAGTTTAATTTTAAAAAAATTACAATCGTTTTTTTTTTACATAAACAAAGCATTGGTTAATTTTATTGTTATTATTGACTTTATGCGTAGTATATGTATATATATATATATAATTATAAAGTTTATATCTATAGTCACGGTACAATTGAGCTTTGGTTGCGCTAAAATAGAAGCTGTTTTCAAATATCCATAGTTTTACAATGAATATATATATATCCTTGCAGCAGAAGCTAAACATTTTTAAATGCTCTAATAAACGCTTTTTTTTATATATATGTATATTATTTGGACGTTTTTTGTATTTTATAGCTAATTTTTGAATAATACTGCAAGAATATAAAATATATTCATTTCCATTTTCTAACTAATTTAGTTTTATAATTTTTTGTTGATATGTTCTTAGGCGTTGGCAGATTTTTTTGCAAAAGCCAAAAAAGCGATTCACAGATTTATAAGCATTTTGCCAACAGAGTTTAAAACATTAATTTAACTTAATTAATTTGCATACAATTAAATACATTTAAGTCGATTAAAGCATTGCCGTCCAAGCTGCGTACAACATTTTGTTGCAAACTTGTTTCAAATTTCGATTTCTAAGTGAGCCAAAAGCGAGCGCAAAATCTTCTCATTTGATTTAAGTGAAACGCTGAAGCTCAAAGAAGCTCATAAGAAGCTGCCTTAATAACTAAAATAAGATAATATTAGTTTGGTTTCGTGTAAAACTCGTCAACAATAGTTTTGTCTTTTGTATAATTTGTGTGTATATGTATTAATAAAAGCGTTTCTTGATTTCTCACGATAATTGAGCATACTTTGAATGGGAATATGTAATTTATATATATGGTTAAAATGCATGTTGCATGTTGCATATTGCCTAGACACACAAGGAAAAAAAAAACCAACAACCAACAGACACAACATCAGTTATCAGATATGGAATACACTTTCAATATGATATGATATATGTACTAAATACTTAGATAATTATGGCAAATCAAGTTGAACAAAAAAGGCTTTAAATAGTTTTTTTTTTTTTGTTTTTAGACTAATTGCTGCGTTTGAGTTTTTAGCTGAGAGGCAAAAACAGCTTTAATGGAAAAGGAAAATGGATCACATGCAAATCATAAAACTAAAGCATTAAACGATTAACTTATTGTTATAATTATTATTTAACTTACTAACAACAAACAACAATGCACATTTAATTTAATTGCTACTGAGGCGATTGTGGAGCTGCGGTCGCATTTCTTTGGAGCACATTATTCAGACGCATCTTCAGCGGCGAAAAGTCAATTTTCTTGAAGCGCGGCAACGAGGCAAACTTCTTCAGGCTGTTGCCAGCTGGAGGTGCCACCTGCTGCTGCAGCAACTGACCGTTGGGCAATTGTGATTGAGTCATGGCCGGTTTGAGGGGCTCCTGTCGCTGCTGCTGTTTGCGGGGCGAGACTTGGCCAAACTTGGCCAATGTAGCATATTTCTGCAGCATGCGTGTGGCACGCTCGGCTGCCTGGAAACAATGCTCGTACTCATCCTCCAGCTGGCTGGCCTTACATTTGCTGCCCGAAGACTCAGCCTCAGCGACTTGGCCATCGTCGAATTTGAAATCAATATTCTGAAGCATGGCCAGCTGGAGTAGCTCCTCCTTGTCGCCAGCATTCGACGGCTTTGAATCGATATTATTATTATTGTTGGTATTGTTGTTGTTGTTGTGCTTGTTGCCGGTGGAGTTGGTGGCATGGGTGACGGCATAGACACCCTCGGCGATCTTGTGGGCGGCAGTCTTCTTGGTTAACGTTCTAGTCTTGGCTAACGATGATGATGATGATGATGCATTGCTTATGCTTGACGATGATGACTTTTGACGATTTTCGATTATCTGTTGGGGCGATGATATATACAGATTCTCCTTGCGCTCGCGACGCAGTCGAGCGCTGACCAGTTGACGCATGCCGGCCGCTGTTTCGGCGCTGCTGGGACTGCGTCGCTTGGTCTTTAGGGTGTCGCAGCTATTTGGATAATACGAGGGTATTTTATCATCCACACTGATGATGGACTTCCGGGGCGTCTGATAGTAATCCTCTTCGTCCGGCTGCTGCTGGTGCTGGTGCTCCGCGTTCGGCGTTTGCTGTTTGGGCGGCAGCGCCGGCATCAGCGGGGATTCGGTGGGTGTACTGGTGCATAGACCAAGCGGTTGCTGTTCCAGCTCCTGGGAGGCCTTCACAGCCAGTAGATTCTCATATAGATGCTCGGCGAGGACAATGTTGCTATTCATTGAGCTCACATCGACTCTCATCGATTCGTAAATATCGCTCTCGTTTTGGGATGGAGCTGAAACTGGAGCTGGAGCAGCAGTAGTTGTAGTTGCAGTTGCTGCTTTGTTGGTGGGATCATCGGTGTTGCAGCTGCTCGTGGAGGAGCTGTGGGAGCCGGTGGAGTATCCAGACGAAGTGGATGCAGTGCTGGCGGTGGGTTTCTTCAGCTCAATAGGAGCGTTGTTGCAGCCGCTGGCCTTTTGTATGATGGGCGCCATCACACAATAACCATTGAGATCATCGACCATCATCTTACGCTGCAGTTGCTGCAGCTGCTGTAACTGGACATTATTGCCTTGGCTGACGGCACCATTGGCTCCAATCAGATTTATGGTGGATGTGTTGCAGGCGGAAAAGTTAAAATTGTGCGGCAACTGATGCGACACATTCAGGCTCTCCAGCGAATCGGCTTGGCTCAGATGACGTGTAAGCTCGGCAAGCAGAATTTGCCTTGGATTATTGTGCTCAATGGCCGAGTCCTCGAGACTAATGTTTAGCTCATCGCTGGAGAGTGCATCGCCAAAGGTGTCCAGAAAATTGAGCTTGGACAGATCGGGACTAGAGAAACTGTTGCGATGCGCATTGCTCATGTTCGATGTGCGCTTGACCGGAGCAATTGGCTCCGGAGTGGGTGCATTTTCATAGAGCACCAATTGCTGCTCCTGTTCCTTCTGCTCCTGATCCTGCCCCACACTTGCGCTCGCCGATCGACGCTTCTGTCCGAAGAAGTTGTCCAACATATTTTTGTACTTCTTCTTCTTGGCCAGCTCCGATTCGGGTTGGGTGCTGGAGCGTAGTATTTCACCCGGCTGGCATTCGAACGTGTTGATTCGCTTGCGATGCGCCGGCAGTGGCGGCACAGCCGGTGGCGTCTCCAAAATCGCACGTGTTGCACCAACCGATTCAGCCAGATTCATTTCCTCATAAATGCCCGACGCAACCGAGGCGCGTGAGATGCGACTGCCATCGAAAATTTCCTCATAGATTTGTGAGACGCGCGCCGAGAAGGAGAAACTGCTCGTGTCCACATCAAAGCAAAAGGAGTCGGGCAAATTGGGCAAAGGACCAAGCGCCTTTTGAGAGCTGCAAATTATAGTTAAATTAAAATTAATTTAATTCAGATTGAGAGCTGCCGAAGATAGTTTAATTTTAAATTTAAATTACAAACTGTATAATAGCCCTGTTCTCACTTTAGCAGATTAACCAACACTGTTCTATGATCTGATCTGATCCCGTCTCGTCACAAGCTTCAGAGTTTAATTTAATTTTTAATTACAACCAATTTAACAAACATTTTTCTCCTTTGTAGATTAACTAACAGTGTTGTCATCTCTGATGTTTCGCAGTTTAAATTAATTTTAAAGAAGTTTAACAGCCCTGTTCTCTGTTTGGTAGATTGACCAACACCATTTTATACTCTGATTTGATTTCGTCTATAAGCAAATCCATCACAAATTTAACAATTTGGCTCACCTTGTGTCCCGACTGAGTCGACGCTGCTCGAGAAACACCTGCCTGTACAGCTCCAGATTTTTGATGGACTTCTTGATCCACTTCATGTGCCGGCGACACGCCGTCTCCGTTTCCAATGCAAAGTAAATGAAGCAATCGCGTCGATTCTGCGTCCAAAATAAACCATACGAATGCTGTTTGGTGCGCGAAGTGGCCAAACTGATATTCAATCCGGGCACATTAACTGAAACGCTAAGCAATTTTTGTTGCTGCTGCTGTTGTGGTGAGGACAAGTCCTTGTCGTCTATAATGCTCTGGAAACTGAGACGCAGGAAGCAGGGCACACATTTAATCGCTTCGATTTTCACCAAGCATCTTGTCCAGGTTTTGTAGCGCAACGCAACTGCGCGCTTGTCATGTGTATCCAATTTGACGTCCATGCACATTGAGATTTCATTGTGTTCCATGCTTGTTGTTGTTGTTGTGGCGGGTTTGAATGGGTGTGATGAAAAAAAAACTAAATTTTAGCCGACTTTTCTACTAATTTACATGTTTTCTTCGTTTTTTCGTTCGTTCGTTCGTATTTGCTAATAACGGCGAGGGTGGAGCTCAGTGTTGCCAAGAATTTGCAAAAAAAAATTGTATAATGTGTACACACTTTTTCTGTAACTAGAGGTGGGTCGATATTTGCAGAAAGACACAACAAATTGTTGGTATTTTTTAGGCAGACATTGTCTGGTCACACTATCAGCAGTTTTGTGATTTTTCTGTGGAACGTTGACGTTTCTGTCGTTTTATCCGCATCAATCTTAACGCTCGTGCGAAAATACGCGTTCGCAAGAGAGTTTTATAAATAAAAATTATTAACGTGTGTGTGTGCGTTCGTAATTGTTTTTTTTTATCGCCAAGGTTAAAGGGCAGTGCACAAAGGTATCGAAAGCAATTGCAATTGCAATTTTAGCCCCGATTTACGCAACGAAAGCAGCTGCGCCGTCAACAGAAGGCAAAGCGGCTGACAGGCAGCGGTTCAGTTGCCAGAAGAAGGTGCACGAACTACGACAACGACGACGGGGTGGCGGATAGTCCAAGAAGCAGCAGCGCAAAGCGAAATCAAAGTCTGCGCATAGTAACAAAAACATATATAAAATAGACAAAAAAAATAAATAAATTCGAGCGAGTGTTATAATTGCTTGCAGTTGACAACAAAAAAAAAATAGTGTCGAAATCGTTAAGCTAAAAATAGTTCAAAATGGCGCGCTTGAAACATTTCTAATTATATTTAAAAATAAACATAAATCAGCTAAAAACTTTTGCATTTTGTGGGTAAGTTAAAAATGACGTCTCTTCCTTTAAATCATTTATTTCTCATCTCTTTCATTTGTCATCTCTTTTTTTGTTGTCATTCGGTATGCGTGGGTGTGAATCATGCATAAATACCATGATAAATGTATACATATGTGTGCGTGTGTGGAAATTTTGCTTTATCCTCGCACACTTGTTACCGATACTCATTGATTTTCCACTAAGAATCGCACGTGCGGCTTTCCAACTGCTCCCAGTTAATATATCCAATTAGACCAACAAACAATTACGGACCAGGTAGCATTTTTGTTGTTGTTGTTGAGGTTTCTCAGCTGCTTGTCCGCATAAATTTTCCATTTGTTTTGATTTTGTTTTGCTGGTAACAAAATGTTGAACTCAGGTAAAAATACAAACTTCGTGTTAACCGGCCGTTTATTGTCCCAGCCATAAAACACATTACAAAAAAAAAACAACAACGAGGTAAAATGCAATTGCAGCTTTTGGTGAGGGCAGCTTTTGCAGTCGGCATTAAAACTTGCAGCGAAAAGCTTTTCGCAGAAAGTTTATTGACTTTTTGATGCAATTAGCATGGGGAGAGGACCGAGAGGATATTTGTCCATATGTACCATATTTATTTGCTTTAGGTACAAGAAAAACTGAATTTGTACATAAGATAAATAAACAGTCATTTAAATTCTCCGACGAGGAATGACATCATTACCATTTTGCAAGCTGAAAAATAAATATACATATAAATCTACATATGCATACCAAAGCAACTATTCATTATTCACAATTATATAAATAGTTGTATATTGTATTGATGTAATGTTTTTGGTTTTCCTTTTTTTATTTGCAGTCAATCCGGATGGACACAGTATTTTGTAGCCAATAACTAATTGCATATATTGCAATTAATTTGTTTAAATCAATTTATTTTAAAGAAGAAGAAAAAGTGCCAAAATGATGCGTTCAAGCAGTTTGTTTTTCGATTCCCCCTCGAATTTAGAGACTAAACAGTTGTAACTGTTAACCAAAAATCAAAAACTTTGATTAAAATAAAAAAAAATAAATAAAAATAAAATCAATTCGAATATTTTAAAGAACTTTCGCGTGTGTTTTTCGTGTGTTTTGTGGGCAGTGCAATATAAATTGAATTGAAAGTATTATTATAGATAGAAAGGAGCTGGAAACATTTTTTGGGTACATTCCATACACAGACAGTGTATATATATATATATATATATATTGTATATGTATATATCCCGCGCTCGCACACATTCAGTCTCGATTTAGTCGATTTGTTATTGTTGATAAGGGTCTTAAGCGCCTAATGGCAAGTACGCTTAATAAGACGAGACACAGGCGCAGATTGGCTGCGATCTCGTTTCTATCGAATATCTCATTAGATGGCACACACAGGGACACCAAATTTGGGGCAACATTTGGCGGCAGCATCTGTACGCAGCAGCATTACAACAACAACAACAACCACAGCAATAACAAAGGCAACGCAACGGCAGCGTTGGGACTCGGCGCCGGCGGCTATCATCAACATTATCAACGCAATCATCAGCAGCGCAGCAACCAAACACAACAGCAACAACAACACCAACAATACCAACACCAGCAGCAGCAACAGCAGCAGAATGGTAAATGTGGCGTTGGCAGCGCAGCAGCAGCGCTGCTTTTGTGCAGCGCTGATGTTCACATGGACAGCGGCGCCGGCATCGGGATGTGTGGCGGTGGTATCGGCATGGATGAGTGCGGCAGCGCTGCAACAGTTGGCGGTGGCAGCGATGGTGATGGTTTTAGTGAAACTGAAAATATGGGTCAATACCTGATGAATGTGAGCGGTTTGCCCAGCCAGGCTGACAGACGCAACATAAAGCGGCCCAACTCCTCTGGCCGCCACCAGCAGCAGCTGCAACAGAAGCATCCTGGCAAGCAGCAACAGCAGCAGCAACGTGGCGGCAGCGGCGGTTCTGGTGCCGAAAGTGGCAGCGATTCCGACAGCATCAAAATACCGTTGAAGGTGTCCAATTTTGGTAGCGGCAGCTGCGTCGGAGCTGGCATCAAGCTATTGCCACTAAGGGAACGGTAAGTGAAATCTTTTCCATGTAAAGAATCCATACTATCTTTAAAGAATCCACACTTATAATATTCGAACAGCCTTAAAGAACACTTCCCATAAAGTATATATGTACATCTTCCTGATCAGCATCACTAGTCGAGTTGATCGGAGTCTGTCTCCTTCTAGTCTAGTCCCTCAGTTTTAAAGCTATATTGGTGGAATTTGATAAAAATATTGATAGTTTCATAGTACTGCCTACTGTGTACATATGTCGCAGGTGGCCGGATAAGATCACTATATCATATACATAGCTGCCATGGGAACGATGATTCGAATGCTGAGTTTTTTTATGAAAAACTTTTTTGTTTCACAAGTTACCCAAACCAAATATTTTTATTCTTATGCTCTCCACTTTAAGACCGAAAAATTTTTTATGTGATCTATGGCGTGCCAAAGGTAGACAATTTGTATCTTTCTGTATTTTTACTGTTACCACAGAAAGTCTACAAGACTCTCAACCGTTCTGGTACTTTCTTGCAGGTAGCTTAAAACTACTCAAACTCATAGTTGACGATCTGATTTCTTACATTATATGTATATATATATTTTTTTTTTATTTTGAAATTCAATTGCTACAAGAAGATTTTAATGGCACTCTCAAAAGTTTGCCAGATTGGACCAGTATATGATATACCTCTCATAGCAACAATTGATCGAAAGATGAGCTGTTGTTTACGAGGTGACTCCAACTAAACTCATCAGTTATGAGTATCTTCAGACAAAAATACACTATCATATACATGTAGCTTTCTTAGCAGCAATCGGTCGGTTCTTTAAATGTATAACACAATTAAGATGACGGAAATTTTACTTTCCTCTATGTATGTGTGTAATCTTCGGCGTACCTAAAATTTTTATAGATATTTCCAGTTACCACAGGTAACCAAAATGACCTTAAGAACCTTTTCCCTCTGGCTCTGGTACTTTCTAGGAACTCAATTAAGATTATTGTAGAAATTTCTAGTTGACGGTAAGACATCAAGTCTTACAATATTTATTGGATTAGTACAAACAGTCGAGGTTTTAAGTTACAAATTGATATTTGATTACTATAAAGATTAATACGACGAGATACATTTAATATATCATATTACTCTCTTATGAACAACTTTTTTGTTTACCAAAATATTCTAAGCAAGCTCGCCTTTTAATGTTTGATCGAAAACTGATCGACATCGGAACACTATATTTCATAGTAACTTAAATACATTTAAATGATGGCAATTTGTCTCCTTTCCACAAATATATGTAACCAGTGGCGTACCTAAGAGACCCATCCCTTCTACGTATTTCTGCATCTATTCTATTAGCACAGGTAACAAAAAGCTCATCCGTTCTGACTACTGTAGAAATTTCTAGTTGACGGTTTAGATGTCTTACGATATTTATTGGATTAGTGCAAATAGTCGAGGTTTTAAGTTTCACATTGAAATTCAATGACGACAATCGTATAGCGTACACCAGACAACTTATTATTTGCATATAGTTTATTTATTGATTTCTAAAGATAGTTTATAGGTAATGAAATCGAGCAATTCTATTCTTCATTTATCGCAATTATGTATAATATGCACAGGTGTTTATGCCATTCTTCAATGCCCATTTCCGTTGAAGCCCAGGCCAATTGACACCTGGTGCCACAATCTGCTTACAAGTGTCGGCAAACAAGCCAAGATTTTTAGGTAGAATCGCAATTATGTTTGTAAATATTGTCGTCGCTAGGCGCTTGCCAACAGCTGTGCGTCTAATTTAATTAATGTCAGTTTCCCCATCTCAAAATATGCACGCTGTATACCCTGTAGTCATTCTGAATGTGAATGGTTATGATTATGCTCAACGGGCAAATTAGCTCAATTTTAGCATAAAGTATTAAAATATCGATTAATATCGATATGGTACATTTATCAAATATGATATTAATGCTATGTACGCATAGAAGATAAGAATATTTGACTATTCAAAATACAATCCAGGATGAATATCATTTTTAGTTTTAATTTTAATCATAATTTCATATTTAATCTTAATGTAAATTAATATTTTTGCGTAATTAATTAATATATTTTGAATATTCATCCAAATTAATATTTAAAAAATCGGAACTATTGTTCCAAACATATACTTTCTTGACAATAAGCATGGAAATTATAACTGTTTACAGGGCATCAGCTAGTCGGCCACTATTGCAGTTTTTTTTTTTTTTGTTGGGTGGAGAGGGAGCCACTTGAACCTATTCGTCTGTGTGGCGTGGTGCTCATTGCCCAATTGTGCAACAATCATCATCGCAGAACTATTTTCACAGCTCGCTAAATATATTATTGTAGTCGCAGTCCGATTCAGAGTCGGATTCGGATTCACGCTGACTTTGAATGTGGCGCCGTCCAACCGGGCGGGCAATGGGTGACGCGTCGTGTGCCAGTTCAATTACGGCAACTGAATAAATGCCGCATTGAAAAGCAGTCCGCAAATTATTCAACGAGTGACAAATGACAATTGCATGTGTCCACTTTAATTTAAGGCTTTTGTTGGCTTGCTTTTGTGTGGTGGATGCCCCATCTTAAACTGGGCAGTCATTAATTTTAATAGTTTATTCGATATGCTTTGTTTGCGGCTTATCGACACGAATTGGTGCTGCCCCAATAATAACTGCTTGCCACTTAATGGCAGGTGGCTTGACTAAAGTGCACGCTGGCATTATTTACGGTCAAGGGTCACGCAAAACGCAAAACTTGCGCAATTTAAAACAGTGCAAATTCTGCTCTCCTTATTAGATGCGATTTTAAGTGGTGTTTATTGAAGAATAATATTTATTTTATGATTTAAGAAATACAAAATTAAGTTTCATTTCAGTAGTACTATTTTCTGAATAACTAATAAAGCAATCGAGAAAAGTGTCTGAGATGTTATCTAACTTTCAACTTCTATATTTATCGATATTTAAAATTCTAGTTTTATAATCTTTTAAATTCATTACTTTTAAATTATACCCGTGAAAAGTTGATAAATATGCCTTTTTATAATTGCATTAAATTTGTTGAATTATTCTTTATGTTTTTTTTCCACACGCGAGCCAAGCAACATTAAAGTATATTTACAATCCAATAAATAAAGCTATATGCGGAAAACACAAAGAAATTGCCTTGCAAAACAACGCAAAGATAAATTGCCATGAACCTAGAGTCCCCGCTAGTTAACGCAAGCAGTTGCATTAAATATGGCGCCCTCTCTCTCACACTCCCACTCGGAGCATTGAAGCATTCGCTTCAATATTAGCACATTGGTTCAGTGGCAGTTTAACGTGTCTAGACGCACTTAAGTACGCACACACATTCATACTAAATTATCGTTTGCGATTGTTGCACACTGTGCAATCCGTTATTGCGCTTTGACAACGTTTGACCTTGTTTCTCTTTCGCGCTTCACCTGCCATCGATGGTCTGCTATTGTTGCTGTGTTGTTCTTGCTGTTGTTTCCTTTTCTCCCTTTCTAATTGTTGTTTTTTCTTCTTCTAAGTTTCCCGCTACGTTCACAAATGTTATTTAACATTTTATTTAACAGATCATTTCTATCGCTGGCCGTTTACCTCATTTTCATTTTAATTTAAAGCAATTGGAACTTTTCAAGTTTTTTATCAGTCATTCATTTGCGTCTATATGCCACTTATCTATCTGGCTTATGCGCAAGCAAATATATTTGCTAATACGCTATGGCCCGTATTAAATATCTTATCAGTCAGTTGGTCTTCATATAAACACTAAATTAGTGACAACTGATTAGATTATAGACAAAAGATGGTTTATACACGCACAACCCATTCCCCACTTGAGAACCGTGACTTGCGTGTTGCAATGTTTATAGACTTGTCTAAAAGCATAAATAAAACAAGTTGCCTTGACTGACTGACTGACTGACATTCACATTTAGGTACGAGTGAAAGCTTCCCCATTTTTACTTTGTCATATTTCCACCACTTAATAAATAATTGGGCAACTTCTGCTAGTAAATGAAGTAAATTCCAAAGCATAACACAATTTAATAGGCCAGAATGTTTCTCCTTTCATTATTTTCATTCTCGCATCTTTAATACCAACATAATAAACGCAATAACAACAACAACAAACAGTAAACATAGCTCAGCATGCCGCATTATGTTAAACGATTTTACCCACAAGGCTTCAATTACTTTGTTATTTCCGTTTGACACTGTCAGCAACATTCCCCGCACAATATTATGAAAATATGATTCGATAATGCAAATCCCGTTCTTTGAAGGGGAACTGTGTGTTTCCTGTGAGAAATAAATAACGAAAACAAAATAGCAAGAACGACAACAACAGCAACAACAAAAACAAATGATGAGCATGCGCAAAAGATAAATTCATTTACATGATGGTATGCATACTTATGTGTGTATGTGTGTGTGTAAGTTGAAAAATTGCAGCAAAAATCTACGACGCAAAAAGCATAAGCATAACAAAATACAAACTACTTTGGGCAAGTTCTTGTCTTGTTATTGTGCCTTTTTTTTGTCTTTCGCTTTTTCGTTTTGAAAGTTGTTTTGAAATTGGATATGATTTGAAATTGAGGAATTAAAAAAAAACCTTGTCGAAGAATGTAAACAAAATAATTATGGGTCGGCATTCAGTCTAACAAGCAACTCTCCTTCCCTGCGTCCCTCTCTCGCCCTGTGTGCCGCTCTCCTAAAGCTCAACAGAAATTGCGTCATGCCTGTTAAGCGGTTTTCGGCAGCTTTTGTGAATCAAATGGCAAATTTCACGCTTCTTGCTCCGTTTCAAGGACAACTGCAACTGCCGGCAAAGCTCACACAACAGTCTGGCAACGCTCGCCGCTCTCTGCTGCTACTCAATGTCAATGTCAGGGTTGCCCGCAAGCGAAAACCTGTACACGCACAGCCTTTATACCCCTGATTGTCACACCACCTCCCGTCCCCAATGGCCCTGGGTCCTTGCTGTGGCATCTTCTTTGCAAACTGGGTAACCTTGAGCAAAAGCTGTTTTTTTTTGTTCCTTGTTTTGCTTGTGTTCTCTTTTTACCGTCGTAATATGAACCGGTTAGATTGGTGTTTGTTCGTTTTGTTGTTGTATTCGCTTCTTGTGGTGTTTACTCCTTAACTTGTGTCCCCTTTTGTTATTATTCCTAATCCTTTAGATATTATTTTTTTTTATTGCTTTCTGTTGCATAATTTCAAGGTCAATTTGAAAATATTTCCATTCAGGGGGTTGCAAATCGGTTTATTTTTTTTTTGGTGAGGGGTTGCAAAATGAAATGTGTGTCAGTGGTGCAGTAGTTGAATGCAACAAGCGAAGTTCTTTTAAAGTGCACACAATGCAAACAATCTACCCTTATTGATTGGTAAAGGTGTATATTTGTTTTAAGAGTGTGCAATTAATTTTCCGTTTAATTTTTAAATAATATTTCATGGCATTTCTTACAAAATAATTACCAAGCTATGACATAACCGAAATATACAGAAATAGCAACAGCTTCATAAGTATTTGCCTCCACACTCTTGTACAACAAGAAGGGGGGAGGGGGTGGGTCTATGGTCATTAAACAGTTGCTTTTGTGTTATTGATTCATTGTGTCGCCGATTCGCTGTTAGCTTCAGCTGGCAAATGAAAGAAACGAAACAAAACGAAAACAAAACAACGCACAGCAGCAGCACAGCACAGTACAGCAAACCCGATCGAACCGCTTTAAACCCCTTTGAACTCGATTGCTGCACACACACTTCGCGTATACCGTTCGGAATGACTGACTGAAAGGCGACTCTTTCTGATAAGCGACAATATGGATGGATATGTCACAGTATTATTTGCAGGCAGGCCCCACTGGGTCTCAAAATGTTGTCGCTTCTGTTACAGTTAAATTTTGCTTTGTTGATTTTTCTGCATCATTTTTTTTTTTTTTAGAAATTCCTCAATATAACTCGTATTTCGTTTTGTAAATCAAACAACAAAAGTATTTGTATAACCCAGGTGGAATGGAAAAAAAAAAACGACTTTGGTTTATCGTTATAAAATTGAATTTCTACCAATTTGTTGATTTTGTTTAAGTATTTTGCTAAGCACAAAAAAAGTTGTTTACATAATAACTCAATTTATGAATGATTCTTTGCCTACCCAATTGTGGCCCAAGTTAGAGCAATTTGACTGTAATTTTGTTTATATTGCGGTTATTGTTTTAATCGCTCTCAGCTGATTACTGTTTACGCAAAACGCAAATACGCTTTAAATATTTGTAAATATTGCACAAACTCATTAAATGTCGACCATGTTGGATTTATCTCATTTTATGAAGCTTATCATAAAATTACGCCTTGAACACATATTTTGTTCTCCTTTTTTTTTACGACTTTATCTGCCAACATTTACAAAACTTGTAAAAATGTTTTGTGTTCTACTCTTCTTCACTGATTGCGTTAACAACCTTCAATTGGGCTTGATTGTGTGTGCGTGTGTTTGTTATGCCATGAAATCAAGTAAACAACTTAAGGGGCATCTGTCGGAAATCGCTTGTGATTTACTAATCGATTTATGTGCACCTTTCGTGCTGTGTTCAAATGATATTTATTATACTTAAAATGTATAGGGATAAGAATAGATGTTAATTAAAAACTTTCCGCTAAATATTTTTATAGATTTTGTTGGCACATTATTTAATTATATATGCCTTGACAATTTCATTGTGATCCGGTCAACCAGAAATAATTTATTTATAGATCTTTGCATCTTAAGTGTATTGTTTATTTGTTTTTATTGCAAATATGGCACGAAAATCTATTTTTTGCTCAACTGAATTTTAATCAAGTTTCAGTTAGGCACGTGACACAAGAGCCACAAGCTGATCAAAGACTTTGTGTATATATATATTTCTATGTGTGTCTTTATATACATAAAGACATACACACACCAATGCAAACATACAAGTGTTTGTCAAGTGCTCACATCTGCTGATAAAAGGCAAGTCAACATCGATGATAAGACAGAAATAAATTGTTTTTAGTTGATTTGCTTTCTGATCACAGTGGAATTGAAAGATTGGCAATCATATAAACTATAATATAATATGCAACACTTCGAAAAATAAATAAGGGTTCGTTTTACAGATAACGTGGGGTTTTTTTTTCGCAGCACTTAAAAAGTGGATAAATAAGTATCAATACTTTTAGTATTTTATTTTCTAGGTTTCCAAATCCTTGCAATGATTGTTAGACCATTTTACATTTTTACATCCCCAAATTTATTATATTCTTTATTTAATTTATAGTTTCCATTTTAAATTATATACTTAACTACTTCCCTTTTATTTTATATAAGACAATTAATAAATTTAAATTTTATTTATTAAAACATTTTTTAAAAATTGTGGACTGTTTTGAGCACACATTAATTAAGTAAATAAGTTTCTAAACGTGTTTTGGTAGTACAAAACAAATTAAGTATCTACAATTTATACACTTGTTATTGTTATCTTCTCTCTTTGTGTGTTTAATTTATTTATTTATTCATTTTATTTACATTTTGCATAGATGTGAAAAGTTTTTAGTAGCACTTTGCCACTATTTGCACAAACTCAAAGCCAAATACTTTATTTGCTCTAAACAGGTATGATCTATAACATACTTAAATTGAAACGATAAATAAATGATTTGTTGTCAAAATAAATTTACGCCTATGCAAATTGTTTAAAAATTATTAACTTGTGGAAATAACAAAATATTTAAAGTATTTGATGATCAGTATTTAATTAATCAATTAGAGATTGATTATTGTTGTAATTCCAGTTAGTATGGTCATCAAGGTTTTTGAGAGTATTTTTTCCCGCCTTCTTTTCGAATTGAGTGTTTGAAATTTAAATATTGTTTGCTCATTGCACAGGCGCACAGATGATGTCAGCCAGACGAACAAACCGTTGCTCAAAGCGCTCAAAATGGAAACTATCCAAAAATGCTCACACAAACCACCTGCACATGTGTAAATGCATGTGTGTGTGTGTGTGTAGACGCTGCATTCGCCTCTCTGCTTAGATTCCAGCACACACACTATCCCTCTCTCTCTCTCTCTCTGCTCTCTCTTTGTTTCCCTTGCGCTTCTAATCTGCTGGTGTCCGCCCTCTAATCATCACACAGAAACCGTTTTGTTATGCTCCTCATACGCACTAACACACACACTCACACACACAAACACTCTCACACAATTTTTAGTGAGAGCCAATGCGTTACATAAGCAACGCATATTTTCTAGTGCGTGGCCCTTTTAGGGGTCTTCTTCTTTGCTTGTTTCTGTGCGTTTACATTTCATGTAAACATGTAAATATGTATGTGTGAGTGTGTGTGTCTTATGGAATTTTTGGTTTTGGGCCTTTTCCCTTTGGTTGTCTTCTTCAGCTCCGTTCAGTTTTGCTTGCTGCCAAACGCTGCTCGCCTATTAGAATACTCCAACTAATTAACGGGTTATGACAAGCTTGGCGCCACTTCATCACACTTTATGGAATGCCGGGCTCCACACCGCCAGAAAGTCGACTAATTAATGCAAACGGTATTTTCATGGAAATTCATTTGCCCGTGATTTGAGGGCGAGTTTTTTTTGTCATTTGGAGCTCGCTTGTAACCTCGATCCTATACCAATTATCTCAAGGTAATTTGCCAGGCGCACAGCAAGCAGCAATCACAGCTTAATGCCCTTCTCAATGGCTGCATTTGATTTTTGTGTGTGGCTGTTTATTTATTTATTTTTTTTTCTAGAAAAATGCACAAAGACCCAGAGCTGAACTCAAAGTACGAGTTTGGATCGTGGACGTCTTTGAACTGCACGTTGCTGCATGCCTGTGAAAATATCGATCGCCTCGTTTGGGGTGCGTGTGTGTGTGTGTATGTCTATTTATAGAAAGAGTGAAACAGAGCGAGAGAGATAGATAGAGAGAGAGAGACATAGATAGATAGATAGAGAGAGAGAGAGAGAGAGTGCTGCAGTGGAATTTACCCCTGAATTCGATGACATTGAGTTTTATAAATAACAAATTCTTCATTTAATTTCATACTATTTTTGTGATTTAGTTCGTATTCTCAAAAACTGTAGAGATATATGTATCTCTATAAAAGACACTGAAAAATACAAGTAAATGTTAAAATCAGTGTCTCAAACAGAGGCGAATTTGGGTTCTGAATCCCATTCTGGTACGTAAAGTATTAAGATTCCCTTCTTGTAGTTCTGGTATTTACGGTGCTTGGTTACGTATCGGAACCTTGCCTTTTTACAATACAAAAGTTCAAGTCGGGCGTAATACTCCGATACCAGCTGCTTAAAGTTGTCAAAGAATTTTCTATCATGAACAATAAATCTATCAACATCTGGCTTATATATTATATAGTTCAGTGGATTATTTCTACTTTTATAATGCAATTGAGGTGTCAGCAGGTCTCGACTCAGCTCATGATGCTGATTAAGAATATTTATATAAAGGTTATGGGGTCGAAGATGTCTCCTTCAATGTGTTGTATATTTGAAAACAAAATATGTAAAAAATGTAACGTTTTTATTTTATATTTGTGTTCAGTATTAATCTCAATTTGTTTTGTAAGAAACCAATCCTAATCTTCATGCCATCTTCCATTCTGTTTGCAGCACCTTTAGCAATGGCGCCAGCGAGCAGAGTTTGCAGCCGGAGAGACGAGCGCGTTTGAATACGGCGCCGGGTCTGCGAGGAGCAGTGCCAGCGGCCATTGTTACTGGTGGCCTCAAGCGCAACTACAACATTCGGAGTGGTTCGAGTGCCAGTCACATTACGGATGACAGTAGCACGGAGAGTTTAGCACCTGCCAGCAACTATGGCGGCAGTTTTCGCAAATCCGTGCAGATCAGCGATGGTCGTCGTGGTCCCGTTCCGGGATTGGGATTGGGACAGCGGGATGAGCGCATGGTGTTGGTATCGCGCAAGGTGCCATTTTTGATATTCTCAGCGTTGCCCTACTACAAGGGCAAGAATGGACGGTAAGTGCCTCCTTATATGCATTGCTGTATTCATCTAATAAGGGCATCCCTTTGTTGCAGTGCTGAGTTCCGCAAGGAGGATCGTCGACGTCGGAATCCATCCACCTCACGTCCCTTGAGCTCCATTAACGATGCCCCCTTCGACCCATTCGATTTGATGGGCATACAGAAGGCCGAAAGTGGTCAGGTTAGTTGAGCACAAAGTATTATTTGTATTTCCCCAACTAATGCAATGTTTTAATCATCCCGCCCAGGATATATCCTATGGTCATTTGTTGATACCATCGCGTCAGTATGAGAAGGAGCGCAAGAAACATGGCAATACATCCACGAATCCATCAATTTTCGAGAATCAAATGGAGATAACGAGCACAGCGGCTCTGAGAAATCATGGCATTGCGAGGTTGGTGCCTCTTTCATGTTTTGCCTTACTTTGTTTTGGAACATACCACATGAATAATATCCCATTACCATATACATACATACATATATTCACCTGTATACATATATATATATATATATATATGGTATATATATATATACCAAAGACCTCATGCCTCATACATAAACCACAGATGACATGCATTAAACATCCGTTCAATTAACTCTAGTCCAATTTTCCAGGCATTAATTAATCGATTTTTTCGATTGAACACATTAAATATTAATAATTCTGTCTAAGAAAGAATTCTAAAAGAATTAAGCAGTGCTAGTTTAGAGTGATCTATAAATTTATGCTGTTTATCATATAGTATATAATTCACTTAGGTCTATAGACATAATTTAACAATAATTAGAAAGAAAAAAAAAAAAACAAATATTTATAGGCAGTCTATATTAATGTGTTGCTATATTTTTTAATCAACGTTTGCTGTGCAAATTCCTTTTTAATATATTAACTAAAGCCCAACATGCTCAAAGTGTTAAAGTTGCGATTAATTTTTAGCGATTGCCAATCAAAATTGTTTACATAAATCTTAAACAGGCAACAAAATAATCAGCATGTCAGGGATTTTATTTTGACAGTGTTTTTGGTAAATATCGTGTGTAAATAAGAAATGTTTACGTGTTAAACAACAATTCGGTGGTCGAAAATAACATCAAAGCGCTGACGGCACAAATTGCGATAATTATTATTGCTGAGTTGGTGTTCTGAATCATCGGAAATAGAAGGGCTCGTATAATATCTGTTGGGCTTTATTTTTATCGCGTCAGGTTTTGTTAACTAATTTCCAAAGAGCGGCTGACGCAGCGCCGAAAAATGTATATAATAATGTGTATGCGAAATCTTTGGCCCCAAGACCCAGTCCTACAGACGATATTATATACTGAAAACAAAAAACCACACACAAAAAAAGTTTCGATGCATTTTGTACCATTAAATTTTTGCTAATCATTTAACGCTTTGCACTACTTCGTTTCAGCACAAAAACCATAACCAAACATCAAGGCAAATGGTAAATTTTTGAAGCAGCTAATAAGTAACCATTACCTGCGACGATCTCAGCTATGGAATTAACCCAATTATATATATATATATAGTATATATAAATAACTAACATCGCCCATAGCTCAGATGTGTCGCAGTGCTTATATGAATATCCAACTTTTAAATACCAAGAATTACATACCACTAACCAAAATTCACACTTCACATTTGCACACATTCGAAAACTGGCAAACGCTTCAACTAACTTGGCTTTCACTCACGTTCTGCTCTCATTTTTTGGGGCGTAAACTGTGTAGACAACTATTAACTATATTTAATGTTCTTACAGGTGCTTCACTTACGAAAATACGAATCGCAATAATGCAACCAGTCCAACGCCCGATCTGAAGCTGGACATGGAAATTGAGAGCATCATTCTAAGTGGCGATGTGTCACGTGGTCTGCCAGTAAGTAAATCTATTCACATCTATATATATATATATAAATCACTTATCAATCTCTGTTTCGCAGTATCCGCAGTATTCGGCTAGTATCTTGGATGACCCCGAACTGATTGCTGGCAAGCATCGCACTCTGTTGACATTCACCTCGTACATGACCTCGGTCATTGACTATGTGCGTCCATCGGATCTGAAGAAGGAGCTCAATGACAAGTTTCGCGAGAAGTTCCCAAGCATACAGCTCACATTGAGCAAGCTTAGAAGGTAGCATATCTAAAATGTTCCATTTCTGATTGTAAACATTATTTTGGTTTGAGAAATTGAGATACTCACTTTGAGTAGCATTAACTTATTTTATGCTTAACAAAAGCAGAATATTTCTATTTAATATTTTGCATTTTTGCAAGCTATCTGTAGCTCCAGAAACTACATTAATATTATTTTCTTATATGTCAAAAGTGTTTCTAAATTGTATCTAGATCTTCTATTTTATATAGTTATTTACTTCTTCAAGAGGCATAAATTATATTTTATATAGATTTGTATGTCGAAAGTGTTTTCAAATTGTTTAAAGGGCTTCTATCTTATATAGTTATTTTTCTTTTAATACAAGAACAGAAAACCACAAATATTGTGAATGGATTGTAAATTTATTAGTTCAGCAAAATTATAGTTAAAATCTAAACAATCTAGCTTAATGGATTATACCAAGACTATATGTATATAGTAATTATATTGCAATGAAAACAATTACTTCATAACTTCTGAGACTTATCTGAAAAGACCAAAATGAAATCGAACAATCTTTGTTACTATATATAAACTGTTAATAACATTTTGATTTCTTAATTCCATTCACAGCATCAAGAGGGAAATGCGTCGCATTAACAAGCTGGATACGCGAATTGATCTGGTGACCATCTCGCAGGCCTATGTCTACTTTGAGAAACTAATTCTGGCCAATTTGATTAACAAGAGCAATCGGAAACTTTGCGCCGGCGCCTGCCTACTGCTCAGTGCCAAGATGAACGATGTCAAGGGCGACTCGCTGAAGAGCCTCATTGAGAAGACGGAGAGTGTGTTTCGCTTGAATCGCAAGGAGCTGATCTCCTCGGAGTTTGCAGTGCTCGTTGCACTCGAGTTCAGTTTGCATGTGCCGATGCATGAGGTGCTGCCGCATTATCAACGATTGCTCTACGAATCCTAGAACTGGCCCAGGCGCTGCGCCGAAGGACGTTTAACGGCGGCAGCGCAGGCGGCAGTGGCCTTGGCAGCGGCAACAACACGACATCATTTGCGGCGCAAGGGCAGTCGAAAGTGATCGTTGCATACTTTCTGGCGGAATCTGTACTTACACATAAATGGCATACTTTTCGGGTGTTGGATTTTTATATACGCAGTACAATAATTATTTAAGTAGCTGATAGGTTTTTGCTAACGCGTAAGTTTCACGCAAATCAAATTGACAACAAATTTATATAAAAAACCAAAACAAAAAGAAAAGGCATAGTTATAATCAAAAAAAAAAAAAAAAAGAAGATATACAAACATTTAAAAACCTTTCCGGTAGTTGGCACTTCCACAAAACACTTATTAGCTCTTAAGTGTTTATCTTTTAGCAAGTTATATGATTTTTTTCTGGTTTTTTTGTTATAGATCAAGTACGAATAAATAAATAAACTGACTAAAAATAAATGCATGATATGATATGTATGTGTTTGTGTATAGCTCGAAAACCGCTGACGCTTATCAATATCAGTTGGTAGCGTGTTGTTGTTGTTGCTGTTGCTGTTGTCACAGTTGGTTAGGGCCCCCATGCAACGTGATAATAATATTCAAATTTGAACCTGAAGCACCGCACAACACTCTTGCGAGCACGATCTCTGCCTCTTCACATTGCTGCTAGCCGCATGGTCAAAGCTAACTAATCCGCCCCAACAAACCCGCTTCGTGGGAGCTTTGCTTGTGTGAAGAAAATCCAAGCGAGCAACCCCACCACACACGAACTCAAATAAATCACTCGATTTATATTGCCGTCAATTTTTGTTCTCGCCGCTGCTCATCAATCAAAAATCAATAAATACTTTGCGATCGATTATTTGTCAGCGCAACAGGCGCCCAGCAGCCAACAGCAACGAAACGGAAAAGAGTAAAGAGTTTTGCGGTTGCCGGTCGGAGTCTCTAAATAAATATGCGGGCCACGATAACCCAAAAATATAATACGCACACGTGCACAGTTGTGTTGTTGTTGTCCCTTCCCCCCTCTCCAAGCCCTAACTATACATGCATTACATTTTCTTTGTTATCGTTAACTCTTTAATACCCTGTAAGTGATATTTATCAGCATTATGGAACTGACCTGGCTCAAATATTACATCATCTTTTAGCTAGAAGAACTTGGGTTTTCATTATCTCATAATTTATTGTATATTTCATATAATTACTTCTTAACTTCTTTAGATAAATCTTTGATTTTATATATATATTTTTTTTAATTCATGTTATAGGTAAATCTGAAAGCACAGGGTATTGGATAGTCGAGCTCACTTTATCAAATAGCTATTTGTTTTGATAAGGCCTGTTGGCGCTATTGTTATTGTTATTGTTGTTATTGTTATTGTAACTGATTTGGGCAGCCAGCAAATGGGCAGAGGTGGCTACTGCAGCACATCGACACTCAAACGGGCAGTGCTGATTGTGAATGTTGTGTGTGGTGCAATTTAATCAGCTCTTGTCTTATCAGAACACACATTGCTGACTGCACTTGTCGATTGTGAATTGCAAAAGAACGCAGTGCAATTGTAGCCACCAACAAGCAACAGGTTTCGCATTTATTTTTACTTTTAGTCTTTTCTTTTTCTTCTTTTCTTTTGCCATGTAATCGAAGTTGCAATGTCATAAACACGATTAGTGTTGTAAAACATGTACAAGCATGCATGCCGGTGCTTATCAACATGCAATTAAAATAATTATAATAATTGCTGTATAAGCATTTAAAATCTTCGCTCTTCACGAGCAAACTCAAAAAAATATTTCCATTAGAGCATTTCAATGCACAGATGCAAAACACACAGTATATGTATGTGTGTGTGTACTACATATGCCCACGTGTTCTTTGTCCGAATATGTACAGCTGTTTGGCTGCCACATGCCACATGCCACATGCTGTTGCATAATGAAAATGCTTAAAACTAATTAACGCAAAAGCAAAGTCGGAACCCAATCTGTATACTCCCCTCACACGCCCCACTCACTCTTGCTCTGTCTCTCGCTCTGTCATTCTCTCTTGCCGTCGCCCTCCTCCCTCACTTTCTGCTTCTCTCTCTCCGTTCGCTTGCGGTCTGTCATCGTCGTCGTCGTCGTCAACGTTCTGCTTCTGCTGCTCTGTTCGCCTGCTATCCGCGTCTGCTGCTTGTCTAGGCCTTGTCAGAACAGCAGCAGCAACAGCAACAGCAGCGGCAGCAGCAAAACTTTTATTTATTACTCATTAGCACGCAAGACGACAGCGCAACGTCGACGACGACGACGACGATTTTTTCCTTGCCATCTTTAGCTCATTTATTAAGAATCAGCCCTGGCACAACACAGCACAAACACACACACACGCACACGCACGCACGTACACAAAACTTTTTCATTAAAATTTCGTTTTCATTTCGTTCATTAAGTTGGGAACCGTTGCGCACTTTTCGTGCCAACCCCACAATTTTTGCTCACCACCCCCAACACACCAACACACACACACAGAACAGTTGTTGGGCCTTATCTTTTGCGGCTTTTGTTGTTGGCTGGCTTCGTTCACATTCGTTAACAGTTTTAGTCACTCTGGCTCACTAGATAACTTTTCTGGCCGCTTGCCTGTCCGTCCGTCCGTCTGTCTGTATGTGTGTGTGATGTGCCCTGGCCAAGCGTTCAACGCTGATTGGAAAGTTCTGTCTGCATTTTCAGTAGCGACGTTCCCGTCGCCGCTGACGCGTTTCTTTTGCTTTCGCAGCAGCAGCAGCCGCCGCCGCTGCTACTGCTGCCGCTGCTGCTGCCTCTGCCTTTGCCTTTGCTGCTGCTGCTGCTGCTGCCGTTGCCTGTTTGCTGGCTGTGGTTTTCTGTGCGCCTGATACTGTGCGCCGAGTTAATTGGTTTGCAAACAAATTAACCAACGTGGGTGTGTACGTTTCCTAATTAGCAGCTTTTGTAATTAAATATGCCCGCAGCCATTCACACACACACACACACATCCACGCATACATACATGTGTATGTGTACAATGGCATAACGGTTCATGTGACTGTGCAAAAGGCGCAGTGGCAGCGACTGTGGGGGTCACAGTTCTAGCTAATGAACACAACCAATTCGCCCCCCTTTCAAGCGAGACTGTGTGGGGGGAGGGGAAGAGAAGTGGCGCTGCGGTAACCAACGCTGGCGTCCCGAATGAAAATGCATTTTAATTAGGGGTTTTTGTTGGGCTTTTGTTTTAGTTCTTTTTTTGTAGGTAGGCAACTGCTGGCGCTGCGCTGCTTTGGCTTCGTTCATTAGTTGAATGGCGGCAGATGACGTAGGGTTGACAAGTTGTGAAAGTTACGCAATAAAAATCGCCAGTTACAAATAAAGTCTAAAAACTTTTTAATCTAATTAAATCTGTTAAATAAAGTTAAAATAACTAAAAGTTTAGATATTTTAAAATTAAAGTTATATATTATGATATCATAAAGCTAATCATAATATTAAATTAATTAAACTAAAAATATTAAGACCACAATATGATTAGTAAATAATGATTAAACTACCCAATATACTCTACCAACAGCATTTTAGTAGCTTGGCAACTCTGCAGATAAGCGCTCCTAATGGGACATTGCAATAGAGGGAAAAGAGAAAGAAGGAGAGAGAGAGAAAGAGGTTATCTTCAATTGCATTGCATCATGGTTGAAGCCGGTGCCTAGTGTGGTGCTAGTGGTACTCATTATTTGTTCGTTGCTTGGGCTCCAGTGCATAGAGGAGAGACAGAGACAGAGGCAGAGGCAGAGGCAGAGAGATGTGGTTTGTACTCCGTGCCTGAGTTTTTTTTTGCCATTCATGCGATTGTTCTTTTTGTTGTCCAATTCCATTCAATTCAATTTTCGAGGAGCAGCAGCCGCAGCACCACCAGCACCGAAAAGGGTCCAATTAAAAAACCACAACAATTAACGAGCCAAGTGAGTTAACTTGGCATAAATGGAATTTTAATTGGCAACATGAGAGCGACAGGGCAACAACAACAACAACAACAACAGCAACTGCTAACAAGAGCAGGAGCCAGAGTGACTCGATAAGTGAGTGCGGGCAGCAATGGTTGTGAAAGGAGAGAGGGGTGGAGGAGGTGAGTGCTGCACAGTGCTGGAAAGTGCTGCTCGTTTCATGGAGAAAGAGCGAGAGAGAGGTGGGCCTCGTTACGAGCACCGGGAGTAGTTAAGTAAATGAGCATTTTGTTTCACTAATGAACACTAATGAATGCCGGAGACAACACTTGCTTAAAGCAGTATGGGTGCGTGCGCCTGTATGTGTGTGTGTATACGTATATGTATATGTATATGTATATGTGTATATATGTGTGATGCCTTTGTTGGTTTGGGGTTTTGTGTTGTTAATTAATAAACACGAAAGCCGGAGCCCGGCCCGGGCACGTTGTATATATATATTTATATATGTATGTGTTTGTGTGTGTGTGTGCCCAGTTTTGAAGGGGTTAAAATAAGCAATTAGTTGGATTTTCAACTAGGCGCACAGCAAATGTAAAGCCGTCGAAACGTTGCCAACCAGCCAGCCAGGCAGCAGGCAACTTTGGGAGGCAAGCCGACAACAACGACGACGACGACTACGATGAAAAACTTTCAAACTGTTGCCGACCATCGCTTCTTCTAACGAGCAGCGGCGGATAGCGGATAGGAACCGCTGCTGCTGCTGCTGTTGCCTCCCAGTTGCTGCTGCTGCCTCTGCTTGTGGTCGAGTTCCCACAGCGCCAGCGCCGAGCGAGGGACAAACCTTTGTGCATAAGCCTGTCACGCATTCGAGGAACTCCTCGCATGTGTTTCTCTCTTTCGCTCTCTTTCGCTCTCTCTCTCTCTCTCTCTCTCTCTCTAGGTATGTGTGTCAAAAAGAAAAAGCCCTTGCGGTGGCGGCTTTTTTACATTTACAGTTCGTTTTGTTCGTGATGCGTGGTTCATAAATCCACAGGTGGCATTTGTGTTTCCGCTTGACTTTTGACCCACATCAACTAATGAGTTTTGAATGGGGTCACATGAATACTTAATTATCTATCTAATATATATATATATATATTTATATATCTATATAATATAATTTTATACCCGCGTGATTTATTTTCTATTTAGGTTTTTAGGTGCCCCAATTTACGCGCAATTTTATTAGCCAATTCGAAAGGGAAAGCTTTTCCGTTTGCGCAAATTGAAGCATGGCGAATTTTTATTAATATTTGAAGTAAGTTACATTTTTAACAAAAAGTAAATATCCTTTTAAGATTTTAAGCTGCCATAACTTTGTCAAAAATTAACCAATATAAGAAAAGAATGACATTTTAATCATGGATTAATACTGTATTAAATATTCTAGACATGAATTTATGTTATACGATTTATGATAACTATGTGAAAACGGACTAATTTGTACCCATTGTGCGGTGCAGCTAAAATAGCTGTTGTTTCTGGTTTTCAATTGCTTCCGAAACGTATTTTTACAACTTGTTGATGTAAACAACAAGCCCACAAATAAATCTTACCAACACGCCTAAAAAAGGCAAAACAAATGAACAACATAATAATACTGTTCACATTGAGCCATAAATTACTATTAGGTGTGCATATCGCCCAGCTGAGACGAATGAATCACAGAAATAAATGCTGGCAGGCAATCAAGATCAAGCCGTCGATTATAATGGGCATATTTAAACGACTGCTCGGCTAAAAGACAGCTTGAACAGACGGCTTTTGCGGAACCGCTTCGCCTGGTAGCTGTTAGACTCGGTGTTTAATTTGTCGTCTTTTATGGTAAAGCGTCACAGTCGCGAAAATCGTCTACTACACTCAGAGAGAAATAACTATGAAATCAAATTTGGAGTATGTGAAACCAAAGACTATCCCGCAGACCTTGCCAAAAATGTTCACTTCAAATTGCGCACAGTGGAATGCGAAGAGCAAAAGTGATTGGAAATATTAATTCGAGGAAAAGTTTTGTACTAAAAAAAACATATTTTATTCGTAAGTTTTTGGTAATTCCTACTTATAAATAATGCCTATAATAGACAGGTATACTTTATATTTACAGTCTTTGGTACAAGGTGGAAACTACCTTCTGAAAATCAGTTTAAGGATTTTTCTTATTTTGAAAAGACGAGTTCGCTTTAATATTCTTAAGATAATTCTTGAAAGTATAAATTATTTCAATTTCTTTAGTTTGATATATTAACAATAATTTTTCTAGTTTTAATATTTTTGATTTTTTACTTAGTTAGATTTTACAAAAAGGCTACATTTTTTTATCAGTGCAGTATTACTGTTTTGATTGTCATTGCTAAGCAAAAACCTGTGGAGGAGGTAACCTCCGAGAAAGAGAGGCTGACTGACTGACGACTGCCGACTGAGATTGCGAACCCGTTTTCGGCTAGAGAAAGAAAACAAATCATGAAACAAACAAGCGATCTGAGTTTCAGTTAACTGACGTCATCGATTTAAATTACGTGTGGGCCAGGCAGAAAAAAACAACATAAAACAAATAACAAAAAACAACAGCCACAATAATTTACATGCCAAGGCTTGGAGGCAACAGAGACTAAGTGAAATCATATTTTAGAATATCGCCAGTGTTCCGACAGCTCAATCGAATTTCGAAACGCGTCGAATGCGGATCGTGGCAAGTTTTAAGCGGAAACTCAAATCATCAACAATAATAATCAAAGAAAATGGCACTGCGTAAAAAACAGGAGTATATTCCCATCAAGTGTGAGGGCTGGGATGGCAAATTTATTTATCCCGATGGCGCTGTGAACAATGTGTCCAAGATTCGCCGCCACAATCAGAATGTGACCAATACCAATAATTTCTATGGCTATAATACGGAACCGATTGTTTTGCCCACCGCCTGGGATGGGACATTTGTGAAGGGCGGCGAGACACGAATTAAGCCGGAACGCAATCGTTCCGACGATCAGGATTACTATGATTTCGATACAAGTCCCACCATATTGGATCCCACATGGAGTGGTGAATTCGTCACCGATCCAAATGATATACGCATCAAGCCCGAACGCAACTTCTCCGATCCAAGGGATTATGCCGAGGCGAAGCGCTTCAAATTGGTCCAGCATTGAGAAAGTGAAAGTTCGGCATCCTTCTACTAACAACGTTGCTGGAAGTTCAACTAGATCATTCCTCAAACAAAAGCACCACCAACTAATTGCATTATATTTCATGTTCTCTTGAGTTTTTTGCAAATTGATATTAACTTAAGTTTTGTACTATTTCAGTTCGTATTTTTATCGATATTTATTGTTACATTTAATAAAAAAAATCAATTGTGAGAAAAAACCCAGAAAAATATGCTTGAAAGTTGTTGTTTTGCATTCGTGTGGGCGGTTTGAATACAAATACCGTTGATTTTTCAATGGCCTTTTAAGGTTGCGATCGTATCGATCGAGCTTGCAAATTAGGCTCACATAAAGCGTTATTATCTATATATATATCTCAATAATAATTGCGAGTCAATCTAGCCTTATTTGGCGCCGCAGAGGCACATGAAATTCTATCTAGGCATTTCTAAAAAGTTCTCCAAATATATTGTGTAAAATTGAAAAGATTTCATATTTATAGTTTATAGAACTAATGGAAAATCGTAGAAATATTTATGAGTCAATTTTTAAACTTCTGCGTCAACGAATAAACGACTATCTAGCTGATGCAATAATAACTATATTTAAATATTATATGTTTCCAAATGACAATAAATTGTATCTCACTTTAGAGTGATTAAATTATAGCTGACATTTTGACAAATTTAAATTGAAAATTCGAATGAGAAATGGTTGGTACGTATTCATGTGACACTCCTCTGATCAGTTAACACGATTATTGACTTTATACATTGTTGCATTCTTACGTCAATTATTATCTAATGTCAAATATTTAATAACAAATGGTCGAGCATTGTTTTTTTTAGATTTCCATTCACAGAGCAAAGCCTATGAAATGTCCCCAAAATTATCATTTACAGTTTCATAGCAAGGACAAACATTAATGGTTAATTTGGTAAAAACCCAAAAAAATCACTCGAGCTCTTGACCCCGACGTGAATCGAACACGCAACCTTCTGATCTGGAGTCAGACGCGCTACCGTTGCGCCACGGAGTCCTCAAATATACTATAGCAAATTGGCTACTTAAGCATGCATTGCCACATCAAATAATTCTAGCGAAATGCATCTAAATGGTGCTGCCACCTGGGCGAAAATTGGTGCAACCACTCATGGGGGTTGAAAGATAGTAATTTGGCTTGGCGCCATATTTAGATATACATATATTTGAAAATAATTTTAATAATAATTTAAGCAAATTATACGCATTATATTATTACAATGTGTTTCGTTTGTGTTATCCTTAATAATGCAAACTATCGATTACCACACAGAACCAAAAGTATTTTGCAGCATGTTAACAAAGTATCGATAACAGTTGGCATTCCCTGCATTTGTTAATCGCAGCCAACTTCACATCAACGCGTTCTCGGTATAGGTTTTAACACTTATTTATTCGCAATAAATGCGAATGCAATTGCGAAAAATTGAACTTATTCGCTGTATTTGCGAAAAAGCAGTCATTTAATTTATACAAAAAATTAAACGCCGCACATTTCGCACATTTACAACATACTCAATTCAAACGTTTTCTTTCCGCCACCGTCGTCGTTGTGCGCTTCAGTGAGTGAGTGTGTGTGTGTATATATTTTTGTGCGTGACGCGCTGCTGCCGCCATTCAAGATTGAAGTGAAAAAATGGATTTGGCGGAGCTACATAAGATGAAAGTGGTGGACCTGCGTAACGAACTACAGACGCGCGGTCTCGATACCAAAGGTGTTAAAGCTGTGCTCATCGAACGCTTGCGGGCACATGTCGAAGATTCTGCCGGTGGAGGCGTTGGAGGTGAGTTAGTATAAGTGTGTGTGTGTATGCGTGTGCGTGTATGCATTATTGCGCTTCTTGCTCCATCTGTGTGTGTGTGATATTTTTCGACTCTTATGAATGTGTTTGTGTGTGTGTGTAAGTCGGCTCAGCGTGTTTTTCTCTTTCTTTGTGAATATTGTAAACGCGCCTTATATAACCAACAAAAAAAAGAAGCGACTTTTACGAACTCTTTTTCTTTTCACACACGCTAGATGGCGCCCCAGTAACACCGAGCCGGCGACAACGTCGAACGCGCTCAATGTCCCGCTCTCCGTCGCCCGTTGCTGTGGTGCCACTTGCCGCCGAACCGGATTTGGAAACCCTGCAGGAGGAGGAACAGCCAGTCGCAGAGCCTGTCGTGCAGGAGGAAGCAGAGGACAATTCGGGAGCAGAGCAAGAGGAAGTCAAAGATGAAGAGGAGCACGAGCGAGAACCGGAACCGGAAGTGGAAGAAGAACAAGCCAAACAGGATGAAGCTGAAGATAAAATTGATGAGTTGGACGCAGTTGAGCCTGATGCGGCTGCAACGCAAGCAGATCACGATGAAGATGTGCCAATGGCTGATGAACCAAGCCAAGCCATGCGGACATCAACGGAACAGGAGGAGGAGCAGTCAAATGACACCAATGAGCAAATGGAACAATCGGATGAGCAACAGCCAGCAGCAGAGAATGAAAATGAGCATGATGCGGATGCAGATGCCAATGCTGAGAAAGTCACAGCTCACCAATCCAATGGCAACAGTGGTGAGAAAATGGATGTCGATGAGGAGGTTGCCAAGACAGACAAGCAGGAGGACAAGGAGCAGGAGAAGGATAAACCGAATGAGCGACGCAAACGCTCCCACAGTCACACCCACTCACGGACCAGCTCCCGTTCACCCAAGCGTCGCAGCGGTGACTCCAAGCGTGACTCGAAGGCCGGATCAACGGTCGAGGAGCGCACAGTGGCCGAGGATGAGCCCACCATGGAGGATAAGCAAATGGGTCTCAGTTGGCGTAAGTATTGTTGTTTATCATATATATTATTTTATCTATTTATTTAATGCCAACTTAAGTCAGTCGGGACAACAAAAATAAATAAAAAATAGATTAAATTATATTAAAAATAAAATAAAAATTTAATTATTAATAACTAAAAATACAGATTTTGGTATATATTCTATACATATTTAAATCCCTAAAGTGGCCAAAATACACTTTAATTTACTAATCGGCAAAAACTAATTGTTTTTGAATATTTATTTATTTTTTTTTACATTATTATTACTTGGCAAAACGTTAAGAGACAATTACTTTAATTGGTTTGATGAAGGGCAATAATATTATCGAAGGATTTTTCGTTAAGGAGGAGTATCTTGCATAATATGCCGGAATAAAATTAAATTATTTATAGTTTCGAAATATCATTATTTTTATTACATATCTGATAATGATACATATTTAAATATCAGCTGGATGGATAATGTGACCTTAGTTCTAATTATAATGTGGCACGCGACGTTCAATTTACTGCATGCTATGTTATAGTTAATAATTCACATGTGATTATATACTACAAATGTGGTGAACACTGTCCCAATTTTATTAATTATTATTTAATTGTATTTTTGGGATCAGCCTAAATAGCCATTTAATTTGATTTCTCATTTGCTTTCCATTCCACACAGTTGATTCGGATCTACATTTGCGCATCGATGCGACCAGTTTTACATCGGCCAAGCCATTGGATTCGGAAATCTATTCGCTGGTTTGGTCGGGCGCCAGAGCCAACTATGGTGTGCGCGAGGGCAAGGTGTGCTTTGAGGTGCAGCTGTCGGAGGAATCGGTGCCGGAGAATGCGCATCATTTTCGCGATGAGCCGCATGTGCGCGGCTTTCGCGTGGGCTTCTCAACGCCACAGTCCTCGCTGCTGCTGGGCGAGGCTGAACATTCCTATGGCTATTGCGAGAGTGGCCGCAAGGCGAACAATGGCGAGTTTAGGGATTATGGCAAAGCCTATCAGCTGGACGATGTGATTGGCTGCTATTTGGATCTGGACAGTGAGCCGTGCAACATTAAATATACGCTGAATGGCGAGGATCTGGGCATTGCGCACGAGTTCGATAAGAGCATACTGGGCGAGGAAGGCGCCCTCTTTCCGCACATTCTCACCAAGGGCTACCAGTATACGGTGAACTTTGGCAACGAGACCGAGCTGCTGGTGAATGCCGAGCGAAAGACGCGTAAACGACGCAAGCAACGCGCCGAGTCGCCACAGAAGGATGATGACAACGATGGCGGCGAGAAGTGGAAAGTGCTCGACGAGGCCACCGCCGATGATGATGAGCCCGAGAAGAAGGACGACGAAGCTAAGACGGCTGCCACCGAGAAGTCCACCGAGGAGGGTGACACCGATAAAACTGAGACCAAAGCCGAAGGTGCTGCTGAGGTGCAGGCGGACCAAGTAGCCAAGGAGTCTGTTGTCGACGAAGAGGCCAAGTCGGAGCAGGCACAACCTGCCGAGTCTGCGGAGGCTGCACAGGATGAGGAACCTGGTGAGTTCTACAAATATCTATATAATATCGAATTAAAACAAAAACTGACGCAAAAATTTCTCATCTCGTAGCTGAGGAAGCAGCTGAAGTTCCCGCTGAGGCAGCTGCTGAACCCGCAGCAGCCGTTGCCAATGGCGATAGTCAAAGCGAAACGCAGAAAACCGAAACAGAAGATTCAGAAATGGTTGCTGCCGCTGCTGGCGAGCCAGAAGCGCCATCCAAGGAGACGGTCAAAGATAGTGAAGCGCCAGCGAACGCTGAGGAGGACGACGAGGATGGACCGTCGCCCAACAAGCGCATCAAAACCGATTCAGAGGCAGACAAGGCAACAGCCGAAAAGTCACAAACCGCTGAGGATGAGTACGAGGATGTGGTGCCTGTGCCCCGTGAAACTGTTGCCCTGCTGCCGGACTATATTCTGGTGGCTCTCGTGCCCGCCGAGCAGCTAATTGCCGGTCCTCAGCGTGCTGCATCGCGCAAGGAGTGCGAGGTCATTCTGCTCGTTGGTCTGCCCGGCTCCGGCAAAACGCACTGGACCCAAAATCATCTGTCGGAGAACAGCGACAAGCGTTACGACATCATTGGACCTGATTCCATAATAGCCAAAATGACGGTGAGTTCAACGATGCCTTCAACTAGCTCAGTTTGCAGCGTTCAACAAAGTTTTATCCAATTAAGATATAATCTTAGAACTATTTATCTATAAACGTAATATCATAATATGAATATCGTATTATGAATTTACTGTAATTCTTTGAATTAATTTATTTCACATTGAACTGTAATTGTTTAAAGCACATTAGTTAAAATCTTGAGAAGCAGTCAAAAAAATATTAACAAATTAAATGAAGAATGTTATACAAATTCTTGTTCTGTTAATAATACAACAAACTGCTTTAAATATTCCGGTTTCTATTTGAATATTCAAAAACTTTTAATAAGTATTTGAATTTACGAATAGTTAACGAAAAATGATTCTCATTGCTTTTATTGTTTTACTGCCATGTTTTGTTGGTATTCATTCAGTTAGTATAAAATCAAAATATTACAAGAAAATTATTATATAATTATATGTTCCATGTTCTATATAAATATATATTTGGTTTATGTAAGACATCTTTTTTTAATATTTGATTTTTGAAATTAATAATGAACATTTAAAATTTTTGAATTTACAAGAACGATTTAAAATATTACTCAGAGCAAATAAAATTTACGATTACTTGTTATTGCTGTTGTTGCCACAATTACAGAGAGCAGATTCATATTATATATACATATATATATATATATAAATATATCTAATATCAACAATGATTGTTGCAAGTCAATATCAATAATTATAAACTTTGTAACTGTTGCATCTTGAACGAATACTGCATTTGTTTTGAATGTGTGATGAGTATCATCTTAATTTTGGTTTGATTTTCGCATTTTGCAATTGCAGATTGATGGCGAATCGCGTAAAACGGTGCACAAGGGTCGCTGGGAGAAGGTGTACGAGATCTGCTTGAATAGCCTGGGTGCTTTGGAAGATATTGCCATGAAGCGGCGTCGCAATTTTATACTCGATCAGGTAAAACATCAAGCAAATGACCCTTACACCACATGACCATACACACACACACACACACACAGCAATAGACATACACACAACTACACACGTACACACACACACACGAACACACTCATACATTTAACACACAAAAGTACCGAACGAATACCAAAAAAAAAAAAAAAAAAAAAGAAAAAAAAAACACGAAGCAAGCGAGAATTATGCGTTGATGATGATATACGTTTTTGATATAGACAAACAAAAATACGTATGTCACGCCCCTCCCAAAAGAAAGAGGTCCTGCAAGGGATCTCTGTTTACAGTTTACATATTGTTTTTTTTTTCGTTATGTTTTTGTTTTTGTATAAATTTGAATATGCATTTTATTGCTCACATATATATTATTATATGGGAGTGTGTGAATGAGAAATGAGATATGAGAAATGAGAAATCCCAAGCGTCGTAGAACGCCAACAATTGAAAGAGTTTACCAGGTATGTGTTAGGTCCTAAGTTGATCCGATATTTAGTTTTGTATAAGTGTGCGCGATCTGTAAGTATCTGTCCTAAATGTATTTGGATTTCGATTTCGATTTCTGTATCTGTATCTGTATTTGCATTTGCATTTGTATTGCTTAAGCTTAAGTTTTAGGTGGCAACAGTTGACAAACAGCAGTAACAGAAGTAGAAGATGAGGAGGAGGAGAGTGGAGATGGAGATGGAGTTGGAGGTGGAGAGATGAAAAATATGTATGTATTAAGGATGTGGAGATTGGAGATGGAGATGCGTGCGGCAAGTAAGCCACTCTGTAAGTAATAAATACAAACAACAACAACAACCAACCAACAAATTAAACACAAACACTCTCTCAAGCGGCGAAATCGTTCGTCTTTATCACAAATATTCTCTTAACGTATACGTTATTAGTACCTACTATTACTACTACTACTACTACTACCTACTCTCTATCTCTCTAAATACAAAAAAACACCGAGCCAGGAGGCTGTGGCAGCTGCTGTACTTATATTATATCTAGCATAAATATGTTTACTCTTACCACACACACACACACACACACAAGCAAATTGATTAAGTCAACTGTTGTTCCGAAATTCCGAAGCAGATCTTGTCACATATTTTGCCATATTTGTAGACTATGCGCAACAACTCCCCGGCGGAGTTGCAATTACCAAATATACATAAATATATATATATATGCAGCTATATATATATATATGTGTGTGTATATCTATGATGATGATAAATCAGGTATGTGTTAGTTTATAAGCGGCGGGCTCTCTGAACGATGCGTCGTCGTCGTCGTCGGCAAACAGCAATCATCAACGTGTTTCTCAGGCTCTGACCAACAAACGCAACGCAACCAACAAATACCAAAAATAGAAATCCAACCCAATCTTCTATTTAAACAACCAACCAACCAAAATGAAACAACAACCAACCAACAACCAAAATCAACCAATCAATCAATCTATCAACAAAACAACCCAACAACCAAACAACTGTATGATTCTTGTAGACGAATGCGTATGCCTCGGCCCAGCGACGTAAAATGAAAGGTTTTAGCGACTTCAAGCGTATTGCGGTTGTTTGCATACCCGGCGAAGATGAATTGAAACGTCGCATCGCCGTTAATGAGGAAAAGGGAAATGCTTTTACAGTTAAAGAATCAACATTAAATAACTTACGAGGTAAATATTGTCCACCACAACCAGCAACGAAAAAAAAAAAAATAATAATAATTAAAACCAAAAAAAAAAAACAATAATTATTGTATAATGTACCTATATCGAAAGCGGCAAATTATATGTGCATAGAACAAAAAAAAAAAGATAGAAAAAAAAGAATTTATATATATATATATATATTATGTATAATGCTTATAATGTAACTTTATGTATTTAGTTTGTAAGCAGCTGCATTCTCTTTATGTATTTTGTAACTGTTTACACTATAATTCTTAAGCATCTTTTAATTCATTTTATTTCTATACTTCATCATTATTGATCAAACTACCCTTTCAAAAGATAAAAAAAAAAAAACATGCCCCATCAAAAAAAAAAGAGAAAAAAAAAAACATTCAGCTGCGAAACGTGTCTTTAAAAATTCAATTAAAAATTTTGGTCCGATTTCAAGATTTATCATATTTCATTTGAGCTATTTAGTTGCGATACTTTTTTATATTATTTTCTATTCAATTTGAATTTAAATCTTTTTCGAATACTTTCGTATTTAAATATTTTAGTTTTTTATTATTAATTCGAATTTAATTTTGAAATTTAGAAATTGAATTTTGTCCGTTGCCAACTTGCCATCAATTTTCTTCCGACACGTTGCCAGCTAAACAACCACCACCACCTCACCTCACCTCAATATCCTCCTCCCCCACCCTTGAACCACCACCACCCACCCCCACTCCACCTCAAACCCAACCCCAACCCTTCCTTACTCTCTTTGTATTGTGTAAAAATTGATAAATAAATTTTTGCTGCCAGTGTTGCAGAATGCGATTTATGTCATTTATGTTAAAATTACGTTTTCACAAATCTTTTTGCAGCAAATTTCACGCTGCCCTCGCTGGAGTTTGGCTGGTTTGACGACATCATCTACACGGAGCTGAATGGCGACGAGGCCAAGACCGAGGTCAAGAAGTACAACGAGAAGGGCAAGAAGGCCATCGATGCGGACAGATCCCGGGACAAGAGATCGCGCGGCACACGCGACACTTATCGCCGTGATGATCGGCCCCGCAATCGATACTTTGACGACAGGCGTCGTGATCACGGTGGTGGTGGTGGCGGCGGCGGTGGCGGCGGGGGTGGTCAGCGACACGAGAGTCGCTGGAGTGACTCGAGACGAGGCGGCGGCGGCGGCGGTGGCGGCAGCAGCTACTCGAGCGGTGGCAGTGGAGGCGGCGGCGGCGGTGGCGGCAGTCGTGGCTACGATAATCGCAATCGCAATTATGGCAGCGGTGGTGGAGGCGGTGGCGGCGCTGGTGGCCAACAAAACTGGATGCAGAACAATCGTCGCAGTGGCTACGATGATCGTGGCTATGGCGGTGGAGCTGGAGGCGGCGGCGGTGGCAGTCGTGGCTACGATAATCGCAATCGCGGCTATGGCAGCGGTGGTGGCAGCTCCGGCGCCGGTGGCCAACAGAATTGGATGCAGAACAATCGTCGCAGTGGCTACGATGATCGTGGATATGGCGGCGGCGGCGGTGGCGGTGGCGGCAGTTCACGAGATTATCGGGATCGAGATCGTGGCGGCAATGATCGCAATCGGCTCGGTGGTGGTGGCAGCAACAATGATCGCAATCGCGGCAACAGCCAGAGCAGCTATCGCTCCGGCGGCGGCAGCCACCAGCAACAACGGGATTTTCGGCATGGCCACCGCGACACCAAAGAAGATAGTCGCGGTGGCTATGAGCGCTCAGCGGTCCAAGCGCTGGCCAAATATGGCAATAACTCGACGCCAGCTGGCTACGAACAGCAATACAAACAGCATCAGCAGCAGCAGTCGAGCGGTGGCCAGCAGCAGCTCGGAGCAAAGGTGAGATCTGAAGATAAAGATCTGAAGAATATGCATATATATCCATATATATATATATATATATAAGTATGTATGTATATATTTCTATATATATTTATTTTGTCATATTTGAATTGCAGTCGTCGCTAAGTGGCAAGTGGAGCACCTATGCCCAGCATCATCAGCAGCAGCAGCAGACCCAGCAGCAGCATCAACAGGCTGGCATTTGGCAGCAACAACCACAACAACAACAACAATCACAGCAACAACAACAGCAACAATACCAGCATCAACATCAACACCAACAACAGCAGAGTGCTGGCCAACAACAACAATACTGGAACTACAATCAGATGCAGGGTAGGTAGCGTTATCGCTGATGACGATGACGATGATGATGATCATGATGATGATGATGATGGTGATGAAGATGATGATGATGATGATGATATCGATGGTATCGCCAACGGCAACTGTTTAACTTATAGGAAAAACTCGCTCTGTTAATAAAATGCTAACTTAACATTGTCAAAGTCAATTTATTTTTGTGTGATATGATGAAGATGATGGTTGGTTGATGGTTAATGGAGCGAGTGCTAGATAAGCTTAAAGAGTTGCCTTTGGTGTACATCTGGTGGGATTATGGTATAATACGATTGAATGCATTCCATGCACAGGTTATGGCAACCAGCAGCATCAGCAACAGCAACAACAACAGCAGCAGCAACAAACACAACAGGCCTGGTCACAAGGCGCTGCTGATCCGCAGCAACAGCAACAGCAGTGGATGTCCTGGTGGCAGGTAAGCCATTGGGCCTCGACCAATGATTGGTATCCTCCTCCTAATCGATAATCGATTTTTTAGCAGCAGCAGCAGGCCGGCGGCGGAGGCGGTGGCGGCGGTGGAGCAGCGGCCAATAGTGCCGGTGGTGGTGGTGGTGGGAGTGCGGCAGGGACTGCGGGCGCCACTGGCAATAATGATGGCGGTGCCACCAATCATTATTGGTCTCAATATTCATACTCTACACAGTCCAATGCGGGCGTCGACAAGAAATAAGAGAGGCATCCATCTTTTTGCCGTCGCAAAGAAAACAGAAAACAAAAAACCGATTTCATTTTGATTTATAAAAACAAACACACACACACACATACACAAACACACACACACACACTCAAGAAGATAAAGCAAATCAACTTTAAATGATAGTTTTTAAGCATAATGCAGAAAGAGCAAAAAACAAGCGTGCATAAAATTTAGTTTAGCCAGTTTTTAAGCCAGTCTGGAAAGTCCAAAAGAAAATGTAACCTTAACACACAGCACAGTTTCTGGCAGGAAACAAACAAACAAATAAGCAAAATGATGTAGAAACTGTTGATTTTAAGCAAATATTGTATAAAACAAAAATGTTGTTGTTTCATACAATTCACGTGCAACAACATTTGTTTCGGCCACATTTCATAGAACAACCAAACTTACATTTATTGTGCATTATAGAAATTGTTTACAAATTGTTTAAATCGATGCCAATTTCCTTTCGTTTCCTGGCTTGTTCTTCTAACAAACAAACAAAATACAAAAAAAAAGCAATAAAAGGAACGTTGGATAATATTAATTTCGGCTGCATTATATATCTAGGACAGTACAATTTGTTTAACGTTTATCATTATTGTTTTTTTATTATCTTTTTATACATTAACGAAAAGCTGGAAGACAAAACTAAAACAAATTAAATTTAACAAAAATAAATCTATATACAAACAAACATATATAACTGTAAATGTGTATTTTTATTGACCTAATTTAATTATTATGCATCGATTAACTTAATCCAGTAAAATCTTTCTGATTGCTGCATTTAAGTAACAGCAAAACAATTGATTCAGTTTAGTTAATCATAAGCAATTTCAAATTCTAACGTTCGTCAAGTGCGATCAGTTATCGCACTAATATCGATAATGCGCTGTTATCGCACTAATGCCAAAAGACATAGCTAAATCGATAGGCTACATACCCCCATAAGAGCAAAGCTAAAATAAAAATACCGCACTACATTTAAAGTGACTCGTGCTGAAGTAATTGTTATCAGATTCAGAGCATTCCAACAATTGTTATTCACTCGTGAGTTAAGATATTTATTACGATAAGAAACAACTGAACGAGTGACGCATACATTAACAGTGCAGACAGTCAAGCTGACCTTTTCAATTGATTTTTCGCACTTGCAGGGCAAACACGCTCACACACGAGGCACGGACAGAGGCAGTGGCACCACCATGATTGGCATACAATTGTTCCACGAAATCGGCAGCATATTTCGAAATGTGAGTCAAATGATAACTAATTGTTAAAAATGATATCAAGTAAATGCGGTCACATTTGCAATTGCAGACGCCGACTTTTGCGCTAGTGTTGGAAACTCTGCTGTTGATTGCAGTTATTTGGCTAGTGTTGCATCGCAGAGGAGGCGGCAAACGACGTCCCCTGTCGAAGGAGCAGCAGGATTATCTCGTCGAGCAATATGAACCGGAACCGTTAGTGCCCGACACAGATCCCAATCATCCGCTGCTGCGCACCCGCCTCGTCCAATCGAAGGTGGGCAAACGCATCGTGGTCGATGGAAACGATTGCCTGAATCTCGGTTCGCAGAACTATTTGGGTTTCTTGGAGGACGATGAGATTCTGGAGGAGGCGTGCAAAACACTGCGCAAATATGGCGTTGGTTCGTGCGGTCCGCGTGGCTTCTATGGCACAATGGATGTGCATCTGCATCTGGAGGAGCGATTGGCTAGTTTCATGGGCCTCGAGGAAGCCATCGTTTACTCCTACGGCTTCTCGACGGTGGCCAGCGCCATCCCCGCATATGCCAAGCGTGGAGATCTCATCTTTGTGTAAGTGCCACATGATATTAGTATTGACTGCCCAAGGATTAATGTGTTTATTCCCGGCCAGCGATGAAGCCGTCAACTTTGCCATACAAAAGGGTTTGGATGCGTCGCGCAGCACAATTGTCTTCTTCAAGCATAACGATGCCAAGGATCTGGAACGCTTGCTCGTCGAGCAGGCGCAGCGCGACTTGAGGAATCCCAAGAAGGCGCTGAAGACGCGTCGTTTTCTTGTCGCCGAAGGCATTTATATGAACACCGGAGAGCTATGCCCGCTGCCGGAGCTCGTCGAGCTGCGCAAGAAGTACAAGCTGCGCCTGTTCCTCGACGAGAGCGTCTCCTTTGGCACGTTGGGAAAGACGGGTCGCGGCCTCACCGAGCATTGCAACATCAACGTAAGCACGAGAATCTCTCCTTAAACTGATAACTAACTATTGTTAATCCTCGCCTGCAGCGTGACGAGATTGACTTAATCTCCGCCGGCATGGAGGGCGCCATGGCCACAATTGGTGGCTTCTGTGTTGGCTCCCATTTCATCGCTGAGCATCAGCGATTATCTGGCTTGGGTTATATATTCTCGGCATCGCTGCCGCCGATGTTGACCCAGGCTGCGATTTGTGCCTTGGATCGTTTCGAGCGCGAGCCGCAAATCTTTGAGCAACTGCAGCAGAATTCGAGGCGGGTGCAGCAGCAATTTGAGCGCCTCAGCAAATTGAAGCTGCGCGGCGACCAAATATCGCCCATCAAGCATTTGTATGTGGCCCAGGAGCGCGAGAGCTTCGAGGCGGAGCACAAGTTGCTCACTCAGGTGGCAGATAAGGTGCCTATATCTTAATATATATATATATTCCCGATCCGTGATCAATCTCTTTTTTCGCTTGCAGTGCATTGAGAGGGGCGTGGCCGTTGTGGAGGCCGCCTACCTGCAGAATCGGGAGCACAAACCGGTGCGTCCCAGTCTACGGATTGCCGTCAATCGTCTCCTGGACGAATCGGACATTTTGAGTGCCTTCAACATCATCGAGGACGTTTCCAGCTCAGTGCTATAATTACAAATTTTTTGTGCTTTTTAGACTTAACTTGAAGAAACTACTATTTTGTAACTATATTTATACAGAGTCCATTAAGTAATTTCTTTTGGCTTTGCGTCCATAATTCCGTAATTAATCAATTTAATATTGATAAATAAATTATTTAAGACTTAACAGTTTCTGGAATGTTATTAACAGCGTTAGTTATTTTTTTTGCAAGGAGACGTCCTTAGGCGTCTTTCAGTTGCTTTTAAAATTATACTTATTTGTTTATGCATTTAGAATGTTTATTTGTTATAATATAAACAAAATAAACAATTAATAGACTAATTCTTTAAGTGGCGCCAAATAAAAATTAACAACGCCACAATTTACAGACTTCCAGTTAGTGTATCGATTGACCGCTTGCACACTTTTGGTACATTTCGGTGGCGCAAAGTTTGGTCACTCTGTCACTCAGAAACGAATCCGAAGCGGAACGAACGCACGTCGCGCTGTGATTTTCAGTGTCATTTTGCATTTAAAAAGTGTAAGCGAGTGTTTAGAATTCTACTATTGTTAAACAAATTTCTTATGCAGCCATAACTACACACGAGCGCATTGAAAATGTGCGTGAACTAAACGCATATAAAAAAAGCAGAACACAGTCGAAACGCATTAATCGATTTTTTCACGGCATGCCGGTGACGGAGACGCCGCCAAAGTGTGAATTGCGCGTGTGTTTGTGTGTATGTGTGATTAATGCGTGTGTGTGTACGAATAAATAATATGACATAATCGACGTACATATACATATACAACTGCGGTTGACTTAATTGACATAGTTATTTTTTGTGCGCTCAGCAGCAGAATACATAAAAGTGTCGCATTCTTTTTTTTTGTAGTCGGCGCGTCAGGACTTTTGGTTATTTCCTTTTGCACTTCATCGTGCGACGTGAGCGGAGCTGTTTTTTCATACATGCTTTGCTCACCACATTCGATGTTACCAACATGCACACACACGCACCTTCATATATTCCCATATATATATTTTTTTTTGATTTGGGCGTTGCAGGATGATTCGATTTCCAGGCCGCTTTGCGGTCATTTTCCAGAGAGAGCGCCATTGCCTCTATAGTTGTCTCGTTCGCACAAAACGAAAAGTGCATTTATTTGGTGCTCGCTTATCAAGGGGCATTTTATGTCATTGTTTTTGTTAATTAAAAAAAAAAAAGTATTTAAATTATGTAGATTTATATGTTATATTTGTGTGTTGTATTCAATAAATCATTGTCTGTAAAAATAAATAAATAAGCGACCTTCGCTAAGCGCGCTACATGCCGTTTACCAACACTGGCAATGCGACCGCTTCCAGTCTGTGCTGAGCACAAAGCAAACTCTCGCGCTCTTCATTTTGTTGTTAACGTGCGCTTGTGGACGACAGACGTGTACGTGTTACTCAAATAAGATTTGAATTAAAATTAATATTAAATGCTAATGTTAAATTAAATAAGCATATATAGTAGACAGCTTTGGTCATTCTGATTGTCTAAAGTGTTGTTGTTCCAGAAGCAAACGTTATCGTCGTCGTGTACTGTGTGCAATAAGTGCCGTTATTAAGACCCCCGCCACCAATAAAAAGCTCCGTTAGAATAAAAAGTGCTGGCGATAAATTTGAGTGCTACAAATTGAGTGCAATTCACGATCAAAGTAAAAATATCAAGAAGAAAATTCAAATAATTTCATACAAATTCTTTTTTCCCTCCCACACCCCCATACACCAATTTTATTTACCATAAAGCAGCCGAAATAAATAATAAAAAAAACGGAACGCGTGTGTTTTGCCCCGTTTCGACGAACTTGTGTGTTGTTTTTGTGTTAAACGACGTCCCAGCAGCACGCAATAAGAAAGAAAAAGCAAAAAGAGACAACGAGTAGAGGACTACGTCAAAGTTGGAAGCAGAAACAGAAACTGTGAGTGCTGCCCATCATCATCATCTACTTCTCTATAAAAAAAAATATACTAATTTCTTTTAAATTTGTATGCATGTGTGTGTTTTAATTGTATTATGTGCTTTTCTGTTTGGAGAGAGAAAATGCGTGGACAGACAGTAACACTGGCGGCACTGGAACACTGTTTACTGTTATGCGTGGCTGCCGTTGCGCCGTTTGACCGGTGACGCCATCTTTTAACTCGCACCAACAAATTTTTTTTCGTATTTTTTTTTGGGATTGGTCAAGCACATTCCGAAGGAGGCGGCGAGTGTGTGTGTTTTGTGTGTTATGCTTTGCGTTCAATATTCGCTCAACAGATTTTTTTTGTGTATTTTCTTTGGCTAGTCGTCATATTAAGAACAACTAGCCTTGTCTCTTACTCTTACGTCGAATGGGTGGAAGAGAGAAAGAGAGGGGGAGAGGAATCTTTTGCAATTGCGTTTAGCTTTCTATTCGCGTCTGACACATGTCATCGTCGTACAGGTTTCCAATTTGAAATGCCGCCTTTATCACAAACGTGGACGCGTGTCTAATGCATTTTACTGATAAATTGGCGAATGCTGCTGCTTCTCCTTCTGAGTCGCATCTGTTTACAAGTTTTGTCTCGAGTGTGACCCACTTTTTCAGAGTTTTTCTTTGCAGCTTTTTGTGTGTTTCGCTTTTGCATTGGTGGATTTGGCGAAAAACCTAGTTTGATGTATTGGTTGTTGTTGTTCTTTTTTAGTTTATAGAAAACAACAAACGAGTGATAAACAGATTTGTAAATAAATCTCAAAACTTGTTTATTGTACACTGACACGAGAATTGGTGTTGAATTTAAAGGGGGAGGGGGGTCTTTGTGCTAGATTTCAGTTTTTAGAGGCCTTCTGCTTTGCGAATTAATCGTTAATCGTTTGACCGATAAATCAGCTGAATTGTGTTTAACCAGTGTAGCCATATCATGTTATTGCAATATGACGTGTAACCACCCCGTCTTCTTGTCTGCTATTTCCACAATCTTATCAGAAATTATTACGTACGTCTCTTTCGTACTCCAGTTAGAAGCGAGTCTTCCAATACATTGTAATTTGAAGGCGTGTGCATGTTTGTGTGTGTGTGCGTATGTGTGCAACAGTAGTTAACCTAATTTTCCAGTTTAATGGCGAACCATAATTTTATTGCCCTGAATAAGCCAAGTCAGATAAAGGGAGGAAAAAGAGCTTATTGCAATTACTTTAAAATTTGCAAATTTTGTTTTTGCACATTGAAATTCACAATAAGAAACAGTTACGTATTTTGGAAGACTATTTTGATGACTGTGTTTTCTGCTTTTTCTATGAGTTTGTTTTATGTTAACTTCCAAAAACAAATTGATAAAACAAATACTACAATCAAGGTCTGTGAGTGTGTGTGTGTACTGCGCTCTCAATCGCATGATAAAAAGTCAGGTATTATATTGACCAATGACGTCATTATGCGCTTTTTTAAAATTAAATTTGCTGCCTTTTGTTGCTAATTCGAATTTGCGCTTCCTACTCACACATGAATACTCACAAACACACACACAGATACTCTTATTGAGTTTTATAAATTATTTTGAATGTTGCCTCTTTTTTTGTTGTTGCTTTATCACTTTACCGCCCTAATATTATGCATGTGTGTGTGTGTGTAGATGTGCGTGTTCATGCTTTCTATATTGTTTGCTCCCCCTTTTATTTGTTGTGCTCTTTTGAAATGAAAAAAAAAACAGCAATTGCAAAAAAAAAAAAACAATAAAAATATGATTCAGTGTTGTTCAGTTGAGAATTGGTGTGTAATTCAGAAGCGGCTATGCTTGCACAAAATATTCTGCAACAGGTCGAAACAAAAGCAACTCTGTGCTGGGGTGGGTGAAAATGGCACTGGAAAGTGAACAACGAAAGAAGACAAACAAAAATATGCAAAGCCATTCACTGCTACACAACTACAAGTGCCAAATCAAAGTGTGTTGAATGAAAGAGATGAAAAAGAGACAGAACGATTAATTTGTATGTGTGTGTGTGTGTGTGTTTGTGGGAGGAAGTGCATAGTTAAAACTGTAAACAATTGTATAGCGACGCGACAACCTAGAAAAAAAAACCAGCGACAAATGTTTGTTTGAATGAGAAACATTAGTTAGTGATTTAGATTTTTATTATTCTTGGCCAACTTTGCATTTTGCGACGGAAGTAAAATGTAAAATTGTACAGTATATTTAAATATATATATATATATATATGTGGATATATTTAGACTAAAAATAACTGAAATGAAGAGAAAAATTCAATGGATGAGTCATTTCTCCACTTGATGAGAAAAAACATTAAATGGATTTTTTTTCTGGGTTGTCGCCTCCAAAACACAAAATGCATTTTTCTGAATATAGAGCGGTATATAAAAGTATAAAAGAGAAGCTGTGCTGGGGCTAATGTATCTTGATTGAAATTTGTTTATTCAAGCGATGTGTTGTGTGCTTATCTAATTTCACATTGACTGACGTCACTTCGCGTCAGTGATTAATTGATTTAGGTTTTTTTTTTTCGTTTTTCATTTGTAAGCAGATTAAGTGCATAATTGTGACGTACGTTTTGATTAATTGAACCTTTTCTCTTTTGATGCTGCAAACGCGATCTGGCAACTCTGTTGCCCTGTCGCCCTTCCTAACACTAACACCAAACGATTTATCTAAAAAAGCAAAGCGAGGAAAATAAACGTCTGAAACAACAGGAAAGCAAGCAGCAGCAGGGCGAGAGTAGAGCGAGAAAGAGAGAGGTAAAAAGAGGGAGAGACATAAACTCGTCTTTGCCGTAGGCAATTGACAAGAGCCGCTTCAGACAGACCAGACGACAAGAAAAAAGAGGTGGAGGAGGGGTGGCAGACAAAATGCATAAATAAAGAGTACGTGCCAAGCTTCATGCAGCAGGGACATACACAAACACACACCGAGATTAAAAAAAGATGCAACTCATCAATAAAAAGAAAAAAACAACACAAACACCACGGACAAATGTACAGTTGCAACAGACAACAGGCAACAAAAACGTCAACAACAAACTTGACTGCTGCAACACACAGAAACAGAATAAATCTTGTCGGAAAAAGAGGGGAATAGAGACAGACAAACAGACAGACTACAGGGAGAGGGAGGGAGGGAGGGAAAGAGCAGCTTGCAAAAGCTCAGGCAACAAACGACAAAACAATGCTGTTAATTATAAATTCCAACTGTTGTGAGAAGTGAAAGAGAGCGAGAGATAGAGAAAGAAAAACACAAATGTACACGATTGCCATATAGAAATGGAAACAAGCTTGAAAATGAAGATGCAACTCTGTTTTTTTTTTCATTATTTTTTATTGTCTTTGCTCAGTCTTTCTGCCCAAACTGCTTCGCAGCAATTGAAACTGTCTCATTCAATGAAGAAGAGAGTGTGCATAAGAACTGTTATTATCTTCTTCTTCTGTTTTATTCTCATTCTCTCAGTGTCTGAACCAAATTTCAATTGGGATATTTGGGTTAATTTGGTTTCATTAGTTTAGTTAGTTGTCCAAGTGGTGGGCGTGGGAAAATTGTCGGTAATTGCAAACAATTAGTTTTGCAATTGAAGTAATTTGCCAGCAAATACAATAATATGCTGTGTATTGTTTAAAGTTGACAGTGTTGTGCACAACAAAAGAAATCAAGCTAAACTTTTACATTTTTTTTTGTGTACATTTCTACACCAATACAAAATTATTTATTCATTTTATTTACATATCGGCAATCATAGAGTTGTAAATGTCAATAATAAAAATCAGGTTTTTATGCGAGTCTTAGGCAACAATAAAGAGTTATAACAATAGGCAAGTGTCTTGGCCAAAACAACGTGTTTGTGTTGCAGCATTAATAATTAATTCATAATGCAAAAAAGTGAGGCACACGAAAGCTACAACTCACTCACTCGGCTTAAATGTTGCTTACATAATAATTTGTATAAGCCATGGGCGAGAAACCAAGAAAAATCAAATAACCAAGTAAAATGAAAACCAAACAAACAAAACCAATCCGACTACTTTTTAGCCGACTCGCTGCAGACATTTAGACGCTCTTGCGGCTTGTGTGAATAATGGATTGGTTTGCATGTTTCGACCACAAGTTGCGAATCGTTTCTAAATTAAATTGAAAATTAACACCAGTAACAGCTAGCAGAGAGGAGCAGCAGCAGCACCAGCTGAGTGCAACTCACGCCATATACGCATTACTATTATTATTAGCTAAAATTGCAATTCATGTTGCACTTTTTTTTTGCTGCCACACCATTTAGCGATTTTATATAAAAAAAAAATTCGAAGCCCAAATTTATTTTTTGTTTGTATGCACGGAGAGTTTTAATTAAAGAAAATCCATAAATTATCAGTTCATTATATTAACAATTAATATGCAAATATGTGTAGAAAGTGTTATATGGAATTACAACAAAAAATAAAAACTGCTTTGTGCCGGCAATAATAATAAAATGTGGAATCACCTGTAAAAGGAAATGGGCAAACTCTGTTGTACATATCTAATATAATATGCTGAATTATTTTGTGTTTGCTGCTTGTGTTTGTCCGTCCGTCCGTCTTCCGTACTCGTGCCTGTGCGCCTCCACCCCATTAATACACACACACACACAAACATACACATATATACATATATATGTGTGTGTATACATAAAACAAGCGCTCTGCTAACTAAAAATATTTGCATGACATCATTTGGCGTCGACGCGTCGCCGGCATCAATAATTTTCTCTGTTTTACTTATTTTTTGTCTAGATTTTATTGCTTGAAAATGCGCCAACAGTAATATTTGCATGGAAAATAAAAATAATGCATTTTGTTGCTGTGCTGTAAGGCTCAAGGGCCATAAAAAATGGTTAATGGACTTTGCAAATATTTTCCTCTCTCTACTAGTGGGTTTGGCTCATTGAACTTTTGTATTATATTTTGTGCTCTCTTATTGATGTCTGTTTTTTTGCTTTCTCTCCCTTTCCAATTGCTGGCCACAAAGGAAACAGAAAAACCCAACCTCACGCTGAGCAAGAGTATTAAAGGCGCAACAATTTTTCGGTTTTAAGGTGAGTTTTTGCCAGTGTTGTAAACACTAATCGATAACGATAAGTCAGTTAGTCCATCAAGTGGCAAGTAAACAAACATAAAGCCAAGAAGCAAACACAAAACTTGTGCAAATGTTTGTCTTCGAATAGCACGCTCTATTCTCTCCCTCTATCTCTGTCTCTGTCTCTGTCTCTCTCTCTCTCTCTCTCTCTTTGTTGGTCGTTAGTATGTTCTGACAGCTGATGATGACTTATCGTTTTTGTTGACATTTGTCTTGCACCATATGATGAAGGAGAGAGTGAGAGAGACCACACCTAAAGTTGCTCTCTCTTTCAACTTTGAACCTTTTTGTGACTTGCGTCTTACGCTATAATTGCTATAATTAAGCTTTAAGTGATATATGTCATCTTTGTTTTTGTGATTTGTACGGCACTCGAGTGGAACTGACGATTCCATATATTGTTATTCTCCTCCATCTCCAGCTACTCTTATTTTTTATATTTTATAAACCATAATAAGCCACAATAATAGTCGGCTAATAATGATGTCACTCGGTGGAAACAAGTTTGAGCTATTGTTATTTTTGTTGTTGTTGTGGCTGTTGCTGCTGTGTTAGTTTTGCGAACAATCCTACAATCTATTTACAAACATTATAATTTATTCAAGCGAAATATTTATTCCGCTTGACGATGATGTCGTCTTGTCTTGGGAATCATTTCACTTTCATTAATGGTTAATTTCCTTACTAGGTTCACACATGTCTCTTGTGCAATATCTTCTCTCTCAATAGCTTCTCTCTCTCTCTGTCACGAATAACTTCACCTCTAATTCAATTAAGCTCGACCTTTTCTCTCAATTTACTCAGCGTGGCATTCAATTGAGATTTGCTCTTAATAATATCTTATTGCTTTGCTCTCTTAAAAAAGATTTAACTCAATTTGAAAAAAAAAAAAAATGTCATTTGGCTAGCGATCTATTTATTGCTTTTCGTTTTGAGGCAATATGTTCTGGAACAAGACTTAATCTATTTTTATTTGATTTCTGCTAAATATGTCATACATTGGACATAAAACACAAGATTTGCGCTGACAGACAATTTATACAACTGGATACAAATTCTATAGGGGAGCACATAAAAGCGAAGACGATGCTGAAGTTTTTATGTGTTTTTTTTTTTCGCGTTCAACTTGAAATTTGACTCGCTTGTGGGCATTTGGCCCCCATGTCCATCCAGGCCACAAGTTGTTAAATAAATGGGTCATTGAACTAGGCAAACTTATTTCTTTTTATTATTACTATTATCATACATTTCTATTATGGGTTTTTTGCTTCGGGGCATCAATTAATAAAATCGCAGAGCTTTGTGTACTTGGCTATAAATGCTTTTTACTTGCAATTATGGTTTGTTGGCTTTCATAAAGCACTGCATGGTTGATTTTACTATAATAAAGATTTAAATGTTGAAAGTTTAAAGTAATTGTGAAAATAAGAAATAAATAAACTATTTATATGAAGTGCATAAGGTGTGATATTATTTTTCTCGCTACTTATTGGCACATTTCTTTTAAAAGAAGACAAGAATTCCAAGAGCCGTACTTTAATTTTGTTGCCACTATATATATATATTTATATATATATATTACCCAACGAAAAAGTTTTGAGTAAATTGGAGTACACCTGATAATTTTGCTTCTAATTCTTCTGGTATTGAACAGCGTTTTTAAATTCACATAGCTCCTTAAGCTTGTTTGTATGGCTTTGGGCTGGCCCTGTCAATGACCCCATATATTGTTGCTTGAGTATGACATCATGGCTTATTACAACACCCGATTCACCCCCGCTTTCTACTCACACCCCCTGCAAACAAACGCTGCTGGCACTTATGCCAAACCTGCCAGCAAATATAAATTTTACCCTCTAGTGAATGTTGACGATGACGTCATCACTTCCTGTCATTAAGTCAAAACACTCCCAAACACAATGGTAGAACACCCCCAAAGGATATTTTTTTTACGACTGTTGCGTGTGGACAAACTTGCTCCTGCCTCTCCTCTCCGCTCTCTCTTTCTCCTATCTTTGGCTCTTTTAGCTGGCGCCACATTTCTATGATTTGACTTTGGCGCCGGCTACAAATTTCATAATGGCAGCCGGCGACTATTTTTCTGACGAATGTCGGCTAAAAACAAACATATAAAAGCCAAGACTGGAGCAGGTATTTTATTTTGCACAAGGAACTGCGCTTCATTGCCTGCCTGGGGGTAGAATGAGTAGAATGTTGAAGGAAGGGGAAGGGGATGAGGGACAGGGGCGTGGGTTGATTACGTTTACGTTCGTCCTCTTCATCCATCCACTTGCTACGTGTCGTTGAACTTGCCACGGTGCCTGGCAACACGCGACACACATGTGTCATGTGTCTGTCAAAGGGAAAGAAATGCGTGTTAACGGTTCATTTTCCAGACCCAGATAATCAATGGCAAAAGAGGGTTTACAACACTGCGCTCATGTCCTTAACAACCGTAATTAAACACTGGCTTCTGGCTGAGCGAATATTTGCAGTGCTCTAAATGGAGTTTATTTTACTACTATGCAGCTTATTAAACTTATAGACTGGCTTCCGTTTTCCGAGCGTTACTTTTATGTTGGCGAGGAAACGTTTTATTTTAATGGGTTTACCAAATAAATACAAACAAAAGGCAGTCGAGCGTTAAGTGATCGGCAAATTTGATAATAAGCAGCGCAAAGGTGATTAAGAAATATGTTCAGTCTTTAGAAAAATAGACTTATTCAAAATTGTAATAAGCATAAGTAAGCAGTTTTATTTTCAATTGATTTAAAATTTTGTATTTGTCGATTGAAATATATTATATAGCCTGATTGAACTGGCAACATTCTCGAATGTATGCAGTATGTGTTCTTAACATTTTGCCATAAGCGAAAACATTTTGTACATTCAACATTCGTTAAGTATTTTGCGTATTTTTAGAAATACGCATCGAATATTTCCAGAAAGGCAAGCGATTGTTTTCAAATAGTCTTAAAATTTAATTAATGTAGTTTATATCGTATATCTTATTATAATTTAATGCTGAATGCATAATAGAATTGAAATACTTTTTAATTTTAATTATAGTGTTTGTCGAGACTGCCTTATATTTTAATTAATTGTTTTTCTATTATTTTCGCAAAGGCAAATAAATAAAGTCGATCAGCTGTTTTATTTTAATCAAGCGATAATATTTCAACTGACACGTTAACAATAGCAGAACCGGGAAAGAAATGTTGGGCATAGAGCAATCCCACTATAAGTGGACATTAAAAAATAAAAAGTGGACTGTGATGAGAATCAGTTTTAATTTCGTTCAACTTAAGGCAGTATAAATTATAATAGAAATTCCCTTGCTGAATTTTAGAAGGCATAGTGTGCTTTTTACATAAAATCACATTTATAGACAAAATTGCTGTTGAGAATCGGTTCAATTTAGCAATACGCAATAGGCATTATTGTTACTGCTTTGAGTTATTCATCTAAAAGTGTTGTTGTAAATGTTGTACATAAATATTGGCTGTTGTCCAAGTGAGTCAAGACTTGTAGTGTTTTCGGGTGGTGACAACATAAAACATTTACCAGCCGGCCATGGCATAATCATTTGGGGCACTTGACTCACTAACAAGGGAGGAGGAGGTGCACGCAGGGGTTTGCGGGTAAGGCAACAATGAATAAAACAAATATACAATAAACAAACAAGCAGCAGACGAACAGTGAACAAGTTGCACTGTTTGTTGTGAAGACACAAGACACACGCCAAGTTCGTTGTCTATCCACTGTCTGTCTGTCTGTCTGTGTTCTCATGCTTGTATTATAAATTTCACTTAAATCATTGCATTTGTCAGAGATCGGCTAATCTTGGCCGACATGCAACATCTTCTGTACGAAAGAATTATGTGAGATTTTTTTATATTGTAATTCAAGCCACGCGACTTACACGCGACTCCCCAACTCTTGCCACAAGAAAGAAACAAACGAGCAACTCAACTCTTTAGCAAAACAAACAAAATTAGCACAAAATGTGTGTGATGTGAATATGGAGCAGGCAGTAAATATGCTGTGTATTCTCTATATGCTGTATATACATATTAAGATATTCAAGTCACGACGAGTAGTAAAATGCGTATACTCACTTTACAAAATGTTTGTGTGGTGAATAATGTCACATATATATTGCATTCAATATATGTGACGTTATTCACTTTGCTTTTATACGAAATTTGAAGCACAAAAATGTGTATAAAATCAAAAAAGATATCAAAACTAAATAATTGGCATTTTAAAAAGAAATGAAAAAAGAATATCATCTGTTTCCGCCCGGGATCGAACCGGGGGCCTTCTGCGTGTTAGGCAGATGTGATAACCGCTACACCACGGAAACAGTTGTGGGCTTGCTCTCCAAATGCCAGCCAGTTTTTGTGACCAGTTGTCTAGACACACCCTGTCTGCTTCTTTAATATGGAGACTGACATAATTCGTATATAAAAAATATTTGTATTACGAATTGCTATTAATAATTCAACTAATAAAATTCAACCAGTCATATGCTTGTTGATTTAAAAACTTCCATTATTGTTTCTTTTCAAATCTAAACTCTTTGCTTTTGCTCACTTTACATGGACATTTAGTCTTAGGCGATTGTGCTTATAAATAATTGTTTTCTGCCCATATTTAAAATTATATTGAATATATTTTATTGTGAGTATAGTAAAATATTTATATTAGCTGAACAAGTTGTGAAAAATAAAAATACAAAAAAATGCATCCTGTTTCCGCCCGGGATCGAACCGGGGGCCTTCTGCGTGTTAGGCAGATGTGATAACCGCTACACCACGGAAACAGCTGAATGCGACTGGACTAAAAACCAAGCAGCTGTTTTGAGTAATTCGTGGGAAGTAGATTTGTTGCTTCGTACAATGCTTGAACAAAATATAAAATAGTAAAATACATTTAAAATATAATAGAACACAAAAT